GGCCTCGCTTCCCCCAGGTGGTCAGCGCCCTTGACAAGATGATCCGGAACCCTGCCAGCCTCAAAATCGTGGCCAGGGAGAATGGCGGGTAAGGACTCCAGAGAATGGGCCCTGCTTTCTGCAAACCACCCGCAAGCCACCCACCCTGCCCAGAAGTATCCGTCCCTTTGGTGATAGTAGGGTGATCTCTGTCTGCCTCTGCTAGGCTTAGTTCAGCTTCTCAGCCCTGACTCAGGCCTGGGACTCAGCATTCCTCCCCATCCTTGCCCCCCAGGGCCTCGCACCCGCTCCTGGATCAGCGGCAGCCTCACTACTCAGCTTTTGGCTCTGTGGGCGAGTGGCTTCGAGCCATCAAGATGGGAAGATACGAAGAAAGTTTTGCAGCTGCTGGGTTTGGCTCCTTCGAGCTGGTCAGCCAGATCTCTGCGGAGTAAGTGGCAGTAGGACCTGAGGGGTGGCAGGGATTGCAGAGCAGCCAGAGGGGCTCCCGGGAGCAGGGAGCTCGGGGGCCTGAGTCAGGCCCACAGGGTCTGCAGGGCCTTTGGAATTGATTTCTGGTGCCGACTTTGTTTCCTCAGAGGGGCAGCCCTAAGGAAGTTGCTCTGTGCCATGCCCAGAAGAGCCCTGAGCAGTGACAGTCCCTGGGGCTGGGGACCCAGGGGTCCCAGGCTAGTGTGTCCACCTGACCTCCTCCCACCATCAAGGCCCTGGGCCATCTCCTTGGAGACTCATAATCTGTCACAGTCTGTATCTATCTTTGCGCCTCTATCTACATTCCAGACCCAGCTCTCACATTAACAACGTGTCAACTCTGGTTCTGTTTTCCCACCCATAAAAGGAGAATACTGGACTCAGTTTTGGAGATCCTTTCCAGCTTTAATGTTAAATGGTTTTATGATTCCTTCCTTCGCCTCCCAAATGCTGTTTGTCCCTGCTTGGCCTCTGTCTGGTGCCCCTCCTTCCTGCCTCCCCATTTCTCTCCAGAGGTCTCTCACCCTGGGTTGAATAGCAGAAGTGGAAGGACTAGAAATCTGGAACCAGAACCAGAGGGTCGCTGGCCAGTCTGCCCCCTGGGGCCTGGGTGCTCCTCTCCCTGACTTGGCCCAGCTTCTCCTGGACACAGGGTACTCCTCTCCCTCCTCTGTCCCCGTAACTCAGTCTCCAGATGTTAGCAGCCCCAGGTCCTCTCAACGATGTTCTAACTTTCTCCCTTTGGCCTTTTCTTTCTCACTTCTCCTTCCCTCTCCATCTGTGTGACTTTTCCCCCAGCCTCATTTTGTTGGCTTTTCTCTCTCTCTTTCCTCCCCTTCCCAGAGCCTCCAAGGCAGCACCCCTCCCCACACACACACTGCAGCTGCGCAGGACACCAGCCTCTCTGGCTCCTAAATCTTCCGGAAACTGCCCGGCAACGGCTGATGCCAGTCCCCCTGTCCCACTGGCCTTCTTGATTGGCTGACAGGCCTGACTGGACCATGGGGACCCTCTGCCTCACTGAGCTCTCTGTTCCTCCACAGGGACCTGCTCCGAATTGGAGTCACTCTGGCGGGACACCAGAAGAAAATCTTGGCCAGTGTCCAGCACATGAAGTCCCAAGCCAAGTCCGGAGCCCCGGGAGGGACAGGAGGACCAACCCCACAGTACTGACCTGCAGGAACTCCCCACCCCAGGGACACAGCCTCCCCTTCTTCCTGGGGCAGAGTGGGGACTCACAGAGGCCCCCATCCCTGTGCCCCACCGGATTGCACTTTGAACTTATCGGGGTGGGGAGTTGGCAATTTGCAGAGACAGGATTTGGGTGTTCTGCCATATGGGAGTGTAAAAATCCCCTCCCCCTACAAACCTGGGTGGGTAACCCCAGACCAAGGGTGAGGGTGCCTTTCCCTCAGGACTGGGTGTGAACAGAGGGGAAGGAAGTGCCCATAATCTCCTTACCTCCCCAGAGGGCTCCCCAGGTGCTCCCCCACCTTAACGGGTGTGTTCCTGCAGACCAAAGAGGGTGATGAGCTCCCGGGTGGAGCCTGTCCCAGGAGGCAGGAAGGGGTGTCATGGCCCAGTGACAAAATCATTGGGCTTTGATGCCCCAACTTGCTGCTTTTGCCACCAAACTCAATCATTTTTCCCTTGTAAATGCCCCTCCCCCATCTGCTGCCTTCATATTGAAGGTTTTTGAGTTTTGTTTTTGGTCTTATCCCCCTCACCCTCCCACCCCCCGACCTTTTGTTTCGTTTTTTTCTACGGTCCTTGTCATAACTTTTTGTATTGGAGGTCACCTGTTTCGCTGTTGCCTCCTTTGCCCAAGTTGAAACAGGGACCCATCCTTGTATCTTTCCAGAACAGTGCCTTGGTCGCACCACGACCCCGACATTCCCCTGCCTCCCCAGAAACCCCCAAGCTGTGTCTGGGGTGGTTGTAGGGGTGGGTAGTGAAAGGGGCAGTGAGGTGGTGGTGGAAACCAGAGTCAAACGTCAAACGTCGGTGCTTGGAGGGTTCTTAAATTATATTTAAAAAAATAACTTTTTGTATAAATAAAAGAAAATGGGAAGTGTCCCAGCTCTGGGGGTGATTAGGAACCAGGATGGACTAGATCCTTAAGAGAGTGGAGTCTGGGGGACTTTATGGCCCACTGAGAGGGGTTGGGGGTCTGGGGACAGCAGGGCTTTGGTGAGGGGCATAGTTCTGGGCCCCAGGGTGTGTTTGAGGTGGGGGTGGGGGCCTGGGATATGAGTCACTGGCAGCTGCTTCTAACGGCTCCAGCTGGCTCTGCCAAGAGCCTGGGGCACCTCCGGGGTGGGGCTGCCTCCCCCCACCTCCCTTAGCAGAGGCTGGGGGCTGTGGGAGGGAAGGGAGACTTGAGCTCTTAGCCCTGCCCTGCAGCCTCCTTTTTAGAGGAGGAGGGGGCTCAGGCTGGGGCAGGGGGTCCAGTCATGAAGGAGACAGATGTGGACCAGATGTTGACAGCTGGGGCTGGTTTAGAGGCCGTGGGGGAGAGTGTCTGCATTGGCTGTGAGGGGGGGAGCGGGGAGAGGCAGGAGGGGACCCCCCACGTGTATACACACACACACACACACAGAGGCTGGGCTGGGGCTTTGAGGACAATTCTCCCATTCAAGATGCTGCCCAGGCAGGTTCTCCCAGCCTCCTGGGAAGGGAAGGGGAGGGGAAGCCTCCTAAGTGTCACCCCTGGCTTCTCCCTCCCCAACAGGAAGATGAGTATGGGCTCAGTCCCCAGCTCCAACTGCCTGGTTTTCTTTCCTGCCATCTTTGCAGTTTCCTTCTTTTCTCCCAGTGTCTGCCCTCCCTCTGGGCACCTGCAGGGGCAGGCCTGGTTTAGCCAGAGGAGCTTTTCCCATTTCTGCACCTCAGTCGCCCCCTAGTGTTGGATGTGGGTCAGTGCGAGGGCCCCAGTCCACAGCTTGGGGCCCTCCCTGCCCAGGGAGCCTTGGACAGTGCCCTTGTTCCCATTTCCTACCTCTACCACCCTCTAATGGAGTCCCCAAAACTCCTGAGCCCTGTCCCCTCTCCCATGGTGATGTAGCATGCATGTGTTCCCCATAGGGGGTGGCAGGGACTCAGTCCTGCGGAGGAAGGGTGAGTGCAGAGGGTGCGGGCCCAGGCCCACCCCTCCTCCTGCCCACCAGACATCAGACAGAGAAGGTGAATTAGAGAGCTGGTATGGGGAGGATGGAGGTCGGGGGGTAGTGGCAAGGCTGAGAACGAAGGCAAAGGGTAAATAAAAATGCCAAGGGAGGCCTGGCGCAGTGGCTCATGCCTGCAATCCTAGCACTCTGGGAGGCCGAGGCAGGCAGAGATCGCTCAAGGTCAGGAGTTCGAAACCAGCCTGAGCAAGTTCGAGACCCTTTCTCTACTAAAAATAGAAAGAAATTAATTGGCCAACGAAAAAATATATAGAAAAAATTAGCCAGGCATGGTGGCACATGCCTGTAGTCCCAGCTACTCAGGAGGCCAAGGCAGAAGGATCCCTTGAGCCCAGGAGTTTGAGGTTGCTGTGAGCCATGCTAACACCACTGCACTCTAGCTGGGGCAACAAAGTGAGACTCTGTCTCAAAAAAAAAAAAAAAAGCGAGGGGAGAGGGTCAGGGCAGGTGGGCTGCACAGGCCCCGTGATGCCCAGCTCTGGAGGCTGCCTGAGCCTTCCTGCCATGCGCAGCCCCCTACTACAGGAAGGGGAAGTCCCGCTGGGCAGGGTGGCCTGGCCAGCGGCACCCCTCCCTTCCTGGGGCCCTTTCCTCCTGCAGAGGTGGCCATCTTTGAGGATGAGTGCAGAGTAACAATGACTTTCTAGAACCCAGTATCCTGCCTGCTTTGACATCCCTAAACCCATGTCCCCTTTCCCTTTGGACCCTATATCTTGACCCTCCCCTGCCCACTTGGCAGCCTTCATTTCTTAGACCCCAAGCAAGATGTCCCAGGCAAGGACCTGCCTGACACTGGGGGAGGGATAGAGTGTTTGCACTGTGGCCTCAGGCTGGTGCGAGTGTGTCTGGCTACTTGATAGAGACCAGCCTGCCCCTGTCCCCTCCCTCAGCTCCCATAGTGACCCCTAGGCTGTTTTGGGAAATGGACAAATGTAGGGTGGACGGCTCTCCAGAGGGTCATGGACTGGGTCGCTCTTTGGAAAAAGCCGCATTCCCCATCCTTAGCTTCTACCCAGCAATTCTTCTCATCGCCAGAAATGTAAAACTCAGTCACCTTGCACTACCCTTGACACAGCGCTCAGAGACCACTTCATTTCCTCTAAGAACGAGGGCTCCTGGGACGAAGTCTTTTCTCCTGTATCAGAAGCAGCCCACCCTTCATCCTCCCTCGTCCCTGCCCTCTGCCCGCCCTGATGGCGACCTCCCAGGCTGAGTGGGCACCAGTGTGGCTTCCTCTCAGGGACAGCCTCCCACCGCCCCAGCCCCAGGCTGTGTCCCCTTCATATTTCTCCCCCAAGAACCCCCTCACAGACCCAGCTTCTTCTACCCATAACCACGTGGAAATTCACACCTCAAAAATAAATATTTTTATTTTAACTCTGTTGGAAGACAACTCAAAACTGAGTCACTTTAAAGGTACACTCTGGAACAACACCTGAGGGAAAAGCCAGAAAACCTGTGTTAGAGGCAGACTCCCCTCCAGGTCCCCAAGGTTCCGGGCTGTGGGGCTGGTTCTCACCTGTGTCTGCTCTGGCCCCCCTGCCTCTGTTCTGGCTCTGAATCTTCTCCCTGGCAGCCACGGGGAACAGGCAGGGGGAAGAGGCATGGCTCCCCGAGTGGCCCTAGGCTCCCTCCACCCTTCCTCACTCCTTCCCAACTCACCTCCACCTCCTCCTCACTCTGTAAACACACTCTCTGGTGGCTGCCAGCACTACAACTACCGCAGGCACCAGCATTCCCAATAGGACAGCCACAGAGCGGGATGCTTCTGGGTGCAGAGAAGAGAAACAGGGACATGAGACAAGAAGGGGTGGGAACGGAGGGGTGGGGGAGGACCTCATCCCCTGGCATGTCTGGCTATGCTGGTTTTAACTCCCGGATGCTGTCACCCCCAGGGACTCCAAGGCTTCACTACTATCCCCTCAGCGCCCCCGCCCACCCTCAGCAAACCCAAACTCCCATAAGCCTTTTTCCCCCTTTTTTTAAGGGGTAGGGGGTTGTGAGGAGGGGTGCTTGCTTGTTTTTGTTGAGACAGTCTCATTCTGCTGCCCTGGGTAGAGTGCAGTTGCTATTGTAGCTCACTGCAACCTCCAGCTCCTCAGCACTAAGTGATCCTCCTGCCTCAGCCTCCCGGGTTGCTGGGACTACAGGCATGCACAGCAGCACCAGGCTGGGTTTTCCCTTTCTTTTTGGCAGAGACGGGATCTCACTCTTGCTTAGGCTAGTCTCGAACTCTTGGCCTCAAGCAATCCTGCTGCCTCCACCTCCCAAAACACTGGGATTATAGGCGTGAGCCATCGCACCTGGCCAATATCATACTTTATGTTAATATTATGTGTATAGAATAATTCCTTGGTGGTTGTCCGTGGGGACCGGGCTCTGAGGGTACAGGCCTGGGATGAAGCTCTCACCTGACATTTCAGGGGGTGGCAAATCCCGAGGCTCTGTGCAGAGGTCTCCCCCATAACCAAGTTCACACTGGCAAGTGAAGCTGGCTCCTTGCTCCTGACACCGTCCATCATTCTGACAGGGGTTCCGTAGACACGGGCTTTCTGCGAAGATGGGGGGGCTTCTGAGGGAGGGACCTCAATGTGGAAGAGTCCCAGGCAGGGGACACGGAGGCATGATCCTTGGTCCAGGGGCGCCCAAGCTTGGAGGCCACTTGGAGCCAAGCAGGGTGCAGGCTCACCTCGGAAGCAGCCCCGGGTGAGGTTCCCCAGGGTGCAGGTCTCCCCCACACTGCAGCTGAAGGGTTTGCACAGCAAGATCCCGGCGTGAGCACAGGTGCAGCGCTGAGAGCAGTCCTCAGTCACAAAGCTGTCTCCCCGCTGGAAAGGGGGTAGGGCCGGGAGGAGAAGCTCTGTTGTCCAGCCCTGGCCTAGCTGTCCCTTACACCTCTGCTCCCTGGGCCTCCCACTGCCAGCCACACCTGGTAGTAGATGCCATTGCTGGTGCAGCCGCAGTGGGCCAGAGGGAGGCTCTGAGTGCCACTGTAGATGTAGCCTGGGATGCTGGCGCAGCCCTCCACGCAAGGGCCCTCACAGTCCCTGGGGTCCGCCAGGTCGGCACAGGACGCTGGGCAGGGCGTCATACAGCTCTGATACACGGTATTGGCTGGACACGCCATGGCTGAGGGGACAAAAGTCATAGACAGAAACTGGCTGGTGCTGGGGCCAGCCAAAGAGGGCCAAGGTCACCCAATAGAACTCAGAGCTGAAACAGGCAGGGGAGCCAGATGCGTGGGCCGGCTTCGTCGTCGGAGGGTCTTTGTGTCTGAGCCACCGGAGCATCTGAAGGAACTAGGCGAGCAAAGGAGGGCCAAGGCGGGAAGGAGCAAGATGTGGGGACCGAGTTGGGGAGGCTCCTGGGTGGGGCATAGAATGGGTCAGGCTGGAGGATGTGCTAATTTGGACATGGTGAGAGTTGAGGGATGGAGGGACAAAGACAGGAAGCCCACGGTGAGGCGAGTGTGGGGACAGAGGTGAGCAGAGGCAGATGGCAGAGGGCTAGGGGCCAGCACGGGGAGGGGCAGCACCTCACCACAGCGGGTGTGGTTCCGCCAGCTGGCCAGGGCCACACCTGCCTCCTGGCAGAGGATGGCGTAGGCGCTGAGGACCTGGCAGCGCATCTCCTCTTGCTCCCTGGGGTCCCCGGCAGAGCACAGATCAAGCACACAGTGCCTGGGGCAGAGGAAGGGGCTGTCAGGGGGTGGGCAAGAAGACCCAGCCCTGCAGGGAACCCCAAACAGAAAGACATCAGGCGCTGTGCAGGGAGAATGACAGGGAGTAAGGCCGCAGGGAGAAAGGAGATGTGAACCCAGCAGAGCACAGGGCGGGGTGCAGAGCAGGCACCTGGGCCATTCCCGCAGTCCTGGGCCCGTGACTCACTCCTGGAAGGGCTCTGGGGCCACAGTCTGGTGACAGGCAGCAAAGGGGCCCAGGGGGTCCACCAGCACCCTACAGGCCTGGGTGCTGTTGATGAGCGCCAGCTGCTCTGGGCTGCATGCTGCCACATGGAAGCTCGCCACTGCTCCACCGCCGCCCTCCTCCTCCTCGGGTATGGCCCTGAGCAGGTGAGGTGAGGAACGTGACATGAGGGAGGAAGAACACAGGGAAGGGTGTCTGGGTTGGAGGCCACAGACTGGGACTGCCTCAGCAGGTGCCCCCACAGCAGTCAGGAGGAGAGGAAAGGACAGAATTGGAGGGTCAAGGCCAGTCACCCTGCGCTCAAGGACTGGAGGGTGATCACCCCAGCCCCAGGCTCTCACCTTGGGAAGCGGAGGACCGAGTCCTCGGTCTTCACCTCCCAGCTGTTGCCGAAGGTGTTGAGGTTGTGGGTGACAACGCCACTAGGCAGCATCAGCTCGTTCTTGTGGTTCTTGTCATAGTTCCCGCACAGGCCGCGCACAAGCCCCTGGTATGTGCTGGGCAGGGAGATCACTGCCGGAGGAAGGGGGAGCCCAGGAGTGAGAATCCCCACGCCCAGCTCTCTTCCTGCTCTCGCTCCACCTCCTCCTAGACGCCCTCTGGAGCTGGGTGCCCCATTCCCAGGCAGGGGTCCTCTCACCACCATTCGCCTAAGATGTGGTTTCCCCTCCTCCATCCCAGAAATGTCCCTTCTGCTCCCTTTCCCCTCGCTCCACAACCTGCATTGCGCCTTCCATCAAAGCTGACGACCAGCTCAAAGTCAGTGACCAGATATAGCCGTTGGCCCCGCAGGGTGACCCACAGGTGCTCGTTGGGCCTATAGGGGATGGCCATCTTCTGGTCGTTGACCTGGAGAGGGAAGACAGGGTCACAGGGAGTGCTCAGTCAGCCTGCGTCAATCAGCAGCCAGTGTTGCTGTTTTTGCCCTGGCCCCTCTTCGCCCACCTGTCTCCATACTGCTCCACGTGGTCATCCAGTGCAATGAGATACCCCACTGGGCTTTGCTGTCCCACGTGGTAGAGGCTTCCCTGGGGTCTGCTCCGTTGGCAGCCCGGGCCCTTCCCTTGTAAAACCTGGCACAGTGGGAGCCCTGGTCCTTCTTCAGCCCAGCTTGGCCTTCGTATCGCATGCTCTGTCCTCCTTCTCTCCTCCCCTGGTTCCCCCAGGCCCTGCCTGCCCCCGTGAAGCAAGCCTGGCGCTGACTCTGACTTCTACAGCCAGCCTGAGCCTTCCAGGAACTTCCCAGGGAACAGGGAGCCCTGGGTCCTCCCGCTCCTGGTGGCATTCCATGGCCCAGCCTGTCTTCTCACACCTGCCAGACTCTGCCCCTGCTCTCACCACAAGCCCCAAGCCGGTTTGGAGTTGGACTTTGTAGCCATAGACGATTATGATCACTTCGTTTAGGATGATGGGGCTCCAGGGCTCGTGCATCTTGTTGCGCCCCTTCACGAGCAGTCTCTCCACCCCCTCGGGGAGAACATCTACCGTCTTGATCAGAATGTAGGTCATGCGGCCCATGAAGTGGTAGCTAAGGTGGTCAAACGTGTGGTAATGGGGGTCCCCGAAGACTGAGCATTGTTCCGACTCTGCCAAGAAGGGTGAACACTGAGAAGGGACCCTGCCTGGGTATAACAGTCCCTGGAATCCCACCCTGACAGTGACATCTCCTCTTAGGCCCAGGCTCCCTGGATCTGAGCTTCAACTTCTCCCTCTCCTGGCCTGGTTAAAAACCTTACTGGATCTCCTGGTCCAGTCCCTTTTCTGCCCTTGAGGAAGGAGGTCCAAGAGAGGATCAGTAAGTGGCAGGTGGCCACAGGGTTGGCAAGAGCCAGAATAAGCCAGGCCCCCAACTCCAGCTGCTCACCCTGCCTGAGCCCCTTCTTGCCCTGCCTCTCATGCCACCTCAGCCCTGGCTCCGGGCAGCCCCCTGACCGCTCCCCAGCAGCTCCCCTTACTGTCAGCTGCGCAGTTGCTGTTGCTGTGGTCGGAGCTGGGCTGGCAGTGGGACCCAGAGGGGCATCGGAAGGCCCGGCACTGAATGGTCCCTCCCATGCAGACACAGCTGTCTGTGCAGCCACTGGAGATCCAGGTCTTGCCCGGCTGTGGAAGCCACCAGGAGAGAAAGGGAGTGAGAAGGGAAGGGCTGGTTCTTCTCCCTCTCACCCTGGCAGCCTTAGCTCACTGTCTGAATAGCTTAATTGGCACTGGCTAGAGGCAGTAATAGTGCCGTTTGGATCTGTGTGCCCCTGTGTCCCACCAAAAGGTACTGTGTTTGATGTCTTAGATGTGCTGTTTGGGAGGTATTACTGGACCCATTTTATAGACAAAGAAACTGAGGTAATAGAGGTCACCTGACTCATCAGAGATACAATCAGGATTCAAATCCAGGTCAGCCTGCACCAAGGCCCTGCTCTTCCAGTTATACCATGCTGTGTCTCTGTTGTGTAGATTCCTCAGATCCAAAGCCCAAACCATGCACCCCCAGCCCTGGGCTGGCTGGAGATCACTGTGCTGTTCATGCCACCCTTCACACCTCAAGGCCAGCCATAGAGACACAGGTGTCCCAGACTAAAAGAGGCTAAGGAAAGGAGAAAACGCCATCCTCGAGGTGTGTTGGCCCCAACCCCATTTCCCATGCCCACTCACAGGGATTAAGCCGCCCTGGGCATCCTCGCAGCCACACTGACTTCTGGGCACACACTTGTCCTCATTCAGCACGTAGCCTGGCTGACAAATGCAGCCCTCTGCACAGGTGGAGGGGACTTTGACACCCTCACACCGGCCATCTAGGTCCCAGCAGGAAGGTGAGCAGGGGGGAAGGCAGTTGGTGTAGCTGCTGTGAGGTGGGCATTCCAGAGCTGCAAGGTGGAGGGGAGAGTAGGTAAGTGGAGAGAGCCAGAGGGGGCCAAGGTGGGCAGGGGCTGTAGAAACCAGGCTACAGGTGAATGACCAACAAGGCTTGGGGCTTTTTCTTCCTTTCCTTATTCATCCAGCAAGCATTTACTGAATGTAGGCTGTGTGCTAGGCTCTGAGGAAAGATAGGAATAAGAATGGCTTTCTTAAGTCAGCATGGGGGATCAGCTAGCGACTGTAGCATAACCTTGACGTGCACACTCAGAAAGTGTGTGAAAGGCAGGTGCAATGGGGGCACAGAGCAGGGAGTATTGATTCTGCTAGGGGAGTTAAGAAAGGTCTTTAAGCAAAAGTAGTTGTGAACAAATGGAAATGCATACCATGTTCATGGATGGGAAGAGTCAGCAACATGGAGATGTCAGTTCTCCCTCAGTTAATTTATACATTTAATATGATCTCAATAAAATATAGCAACAGGGTTTTGTGTATGTGTGGTTAATAGGACAAGATGATTTCAAAATTGAGATGAAGATATAAGCAAACTAGAAAAGCCAAGAAAACGCTAACAAAGAAAAGAACAGTGAGTAGTGAATGTCTCTACCAAGTTAAAACCCATTTTATAAATTCTCAGTGATCATGGCATTGTGTTACTGCTACATGCAGATACAGATGGACCAATGGAACAGAAGAAAAAGCCCAGATATGAATCTAAATACATATGGGAATTTAGTATATGATAAATTGTGGCATCTCAGTCACTTAATAATGCTGGAGCATCTGGCCAGCCTTCTGGAGAAAAATAAAAACAAAATTGATTCATATCTCATTCTGCACACGAGGATAAATTCTCATGGGTCAAAAATGTAAATATAAAAAAACTAGCATCCTACGCAGCCGATAAGGGGCTGATAACTAGAATATACTTAGAACTCATGAAAATCAGCAAGAAAAAATCAAATAACCCTATTTAAAAGTGGGCAAAGGACTTGAACAGAAACTTTTCTAAAGAAGACAGAAGAATGGCCAACAAACATATGAAAAGTGCTCAACATCTCTAATCATCAGGGAAATGCAAATCAAAACCACAATGAGATATCACTTAACCCCAGTGAGAATGGCCTTTATCAAAAAATCTCCAAACAATAAATGCTGGCGTGGTTGCGGAGAGAGAGGAACACTCCTACACTGCTGGTGGGACTGCAAACTAGTTCAACCTATGTGGAAAGCAATATGGAGATACCTTAAAGCAATACAAGTGAATCTACCATTTGATCCAGCAATCATTGCTGGGCATCTACCAAAAGATCCCAATGACATTCTACAAAAAAAGACACTTGCACTCGAATGTTTATAGTAGCACAATCATAATTGCAAGCTGTGGAAACAGCCAAGTGCCCATCAATCCAAGAATGGATTAATAAAATGTGGTATATGTATACCATGGAGTACTATTCAGCTCTAAGAAACAACGGTGATATAGCACATCTTATATTTTCCTGGTTAGAGCTGGAACCCATACTACTAAGTGAAGTTTCCCAAGAATGGAAAAACAAGCACCACATATACTTACCAGCAAATTGGTATTAACTGAGCAGCACCAAGTGGACACATACGTACTACAGTAATAGGGGTATTGGGCAGGTGGAGGGAGGGGGGCGGGTATATACATACATAATGAGTGAGATGTGCACCATCTGGGGGATGGTCATGCTGGAGACTCAGACTTGTAGGGGGAGGGGGGAAGGGGCATTTATTGAGATCTTGAAATCTGTACCCCCATAATATGCCGAAATAAAAAAAAAAACTAAACTATAAAAATTCTAGAGCATAGCATGGGCATTTATTGAGATCTTGAAATCTGTACCCCCATAATATGCTGAAATAAAAAAAAAAAACACTAAACCATAAAAATTCTAGAGCATAGCATGGGCAAATTCTTTTTTTAGCTTTTGTGGGGACAGCATTTGTAAGTATGGCTCAAGATGCCATAAACCCATAAAACAAAGATTAATATATTATTCAACCCCTTAAAAATATTGTTTTTCCTGCATGGAAAAAAAGACAAAAGATGGAAAAAAAAAAAAAAGAACTGGAAAAATTTGTGTAACTCAGAGCATGACTAAAGGGCTACTTTCCATAACAGATAAAGGACTCCCATGAACTAGGTCAATAAAGACCAACAACCCAGTAGAAAAATGGCAAATGGATATGTGCAGATAGTTCACAGAAAGGGAAATGTGTGGCCGGGCATGGTGGCTCACGCCTGTAATCCTAGCTCTCTGGGAGGCCGAGGCGGGCGGATTGCTCGAGGTCAGGAGTTCGAAACCAGCCTGAGCAAGAGAGAGACCCCGTCTCTACTATAAATAGAAAGAAATTAATTGGCCAACTAATATATATATATATATAAAATTAGCCGGGCATGGTGGTGCATGCCTGTAGTCCCAGCTACTTGGGAGGCTGAGGCAGAAGGATTGCTTGAGCCAGGAGATTGAGGTTGCTATGAGCTAGGCTGACGCCATGGCACTCACTCTAGCCTAGGCAACAAAGCGAGACTTGTCTCAAAATAAATAAATAAATAAATAAAAAGAAAGGGAAATGTGAATGGCTCCTAAACATATGAAAGAACTAACAACTTCACTCATAATATTAAGAAAAATGCAAATGAAGACTCTTGTTATTTTTCACTTCTCAGATTGGCAAAAATCCAAAAACTTGATGGTGCATGGTGTTGGCAGGGCTAAGGGACAACAGGCACTCTCATAGTCTCATATGTTGCTGGTAGGAATGTAAATTCTTCAACCCCTCTGGAAGGCCATTTGGCAACATCTTTAAAAGCACACAGTACTTGATCCAACAATTTCACCTCTAGGAATTTATCTCACACATATAAAAAATCATCTGTGCACAAGGTTATTATCTGTAGCACTGTTTGCAATAGTAAAAAGTTGTAAATAACCATGAAGTCCATCAAAAGGAGTGTAGTAACTAGTTAAATAAATGATAAATGATGGTATAATAGTAGAATATTATGCAGCTGCAAAAGAGAAAGAAGCAGCTCTTTATATATTGGATATGGAAAGACCTCCCTGTAACCACACCTAAACAGCTTTTTCAAAAGAAAAACATATATATATAAATATTAAAAGAAAAAAAATAATAAAAAAAAGAAAGATCTCCAAGCTAGATTGTCAATAGAGTGCAAAATGCTGTGTCTAATGAGCTACGGTTTGTGAGAAAAATGGAGAAAATAAGGAAGATAAATTTGAATTTGTTTGCATATGCACAAATAAATAGGCTTTTGGAAAAGTACTGAGATGTAAACTGGACCATGGGGTTGAGGTAGGAAGGAGACTTTTAACTGGGTATCTTTTTTTTTTTTAATTTTAATTTTAATTTTTTTTGAGACAAGAGTCTCACTTTGTTGCCCAGGCTAGAATGAGTGCCGTGGCATCAGCCTAGCTCACAGCAACCTCAATCTCCGGGGCTCAAGCGATCCTACTGCCTCAGCCTCTCGAGTAGCTGGGACTACAGGCATGCGCCACCATGCCCGGCTCATTTTTTATATATATATCAGTTGGCCAATTAATTTATTTCTATTTATAGTAGAGACGGGGTCTCGCTCTTGCTCAGGCTGGTTTCGAACTCCTGACCTTGAGCAATCCGCCCGCCTCGGCCTCCCAAGAGCTAGGATTACAGGCGTGAGCCACAGCGCCCGGCCTAATTTTTTGTATGTATATTTTTAGTTGGTCAATTAATTCCTTTCTATTTTTAGTATAGACAAGTCTCACTCACACTGTTTCGAACTCCTGCCTTCGAGCGATCAGCCCATTTTGGCCTCCCAGAGTACTAGGATTACAGGCGTGAGCTACCACGTCCAGCCTGGGTATCTTTTAATACTTTAAAAGTTTGTGAACCCACGTGAATGTATAACATACTAAAAACATTAATGAGGCCAAGCATGGTGGCTCATGCCTTCAGTCCCAGCACTTTGGGAGGTCAAGGGAGGAGGATCACTTGAGGCCAGGAGTTCAAAACCAGCCTGGGCAACATAGTGAGACCCCCAGCTTTAAATAAATAAATAAATACAATAAATAAATAACTTTCATGAATTCCCATTTTAAATTTCCAAGAGTTCTGGAATTAGATAGTGGTGATGGTGGCATAACTTTGTGAAGATACTAAAAGCCACTTTTAAAGGCGTGAATATACACTATGTGAATACTCTCAATTAAAAAAAATTTTGGGGGGCCAGGCATGGTGGCTCACTCCTGTAATCCTAGCACTCTGAGAGGCTGAGGTGGGTGGATCGTTTGAGCTCAGGAGTTCGAGACCAGCCTGAGCAAGAGTGAGACCCTGCCTCTACTATAAATAGAAAGAAATTAATTGGCCAACTAATATATATAGAAAAAATTAGCCGGGCATGGTGGCACATGCTACATGGTAGTCCAGGCTACTCGGGAGGCTGAGACAGGGGGATTGCTTGAGCCCAGAAGTTTGAGGTTGCTGTGAGCTAGGCTGACGCCACAGGACTCTAGTTTGGGCAACAGACCAAGACTCTGTCTCAAAAAAAAAATTTTTTTAATAAAGGAAATACCTACAGAAGGATACCCAGTTGTCTGCCAGGAGGGGAGAAGAAATGAACTTTCCAGGCACAGGGAGCAGCGTGAACAAAGAAAGGCAAGGAAGTGTGTGAAAATGCAAGGCCTGTGAGGGAAGTGGGGTTGTTTGGTGTGGGCGAGAGAGGAGGGGTTGGGCCAGAGGAGCCAGGACAGCCCACAGGTCTGGAACATCCTGGCAAGGAGCTTGAACTATATCTTGCAGGCCACAGCCTCGCAGGGGAGTAAGCCAACCACATCTCCTTTGGAAAAGTAGCATTGGCAAAGGTGCACGTGAGAAGTAGCTGGGGGCTGTCCTGCCGGAAGGAACACCAGCTAAGAGGTTATTGTAACAGTCCCCGCCAGAGACGACAAGGGCAGAAATAGGTCAGAAACAACCAGAAAGGAGAATGAAGGAGCTTTAAGGGAAACAGAGAGAGACACAGGGTTTGGGAGCAGTTTGGGGTGACCAGAGGGGACACTCACGGCAGAAGCTGCTGTTTCTCCAGAGTGGGGGCTTGAGCCCCTGACTTTCGCAGGTGGACCCAAAGGCTTGCAGAGCCTGGCAGAGGGCATGGTTTAGGCCTCCAAATTCACAGAGGGTGTTGGCACAGCTCACCAGGAAGGGCTTGAGGACCAAGTGGGAGGCACACTGGGACCAGGCTGGAGCCTCCAGGGCTGCCTCACATTTTTCCCGGGCCCTGTAGAAGTCGGCCTCTCTGCAGTTCCCACTCAGGTCCTCCGGCAGGTTATCTCCTTGGCAACTGGGAAGGAAAAAGAAAGGGACCAGCTTAGGGACAGCTATCATCCCACCTAGGACAACGATACCCACCCAGACCACAGAAGCTGGTCTGATCTCCGGCCAACCTTCCACACAATCTCATCTCCCCCCAAGTTTCTAAGCAAAATAAGCAAAGAAAGGAAGACTCATATTTCCCCAAATAGGCTCCAGCAGCCCTGAGACCCAAATTACACACTTTCCCCCTAGAATACCCAGGAGTCATCCCCCCTCAACTCACACACATAAAAGAACATTCTGGGCTCCCTATCCCAGGTGAGCCCTACCATCTAGCTTCCCAGCTCCTGCTGCTATGAAAGGTACAGGATCTTAAGGGGACAATTACTTTGGGTCGATGTCCTTATCTTTCCAACTCTTCACAAACTCTTGGTCATTCCAGGCCAGTTCATCACTGGGCATCATCAGCTCGTCATCTTCCTCGCCGTTGAAGTTGCCACACACGCCGCAGACCTGGGTGGGCGGGAGGGGGTTTCAGTGCTGAGGAGCTCCTTGTCCACCCTAAATAGAAAGGTGCTCTCCACAATGCTCCCCTCTGGGGACTGGCCTCTTTGGCCTGGTGGAATGTGACTGCTGCTGCCCAGTCCCCAGAGGCTGCCTCCCCCAAGAACAGAGCCAGGTGTTTTCCTCGCCTTTCCGTAATAGCCTGTAGGGAGTTCGATCTCTAAGAGATGACGGCCATCAAACGTGACTCGTGCTCCCAACTTAAACTTGACAATGGTGTGGATGCCGCGGGAAAGGATGCTGACCCCTGGAATCTGAGAGCTCTCGGGAAGGGTGACCTGTTTGCCATTGATCTGAAGAGGAGGGCAGGGCTTGTGAGTAAGAAGTGGACCAGAGTCCTCTCCCCAGAACTCCCTCTTCCCCAGTGCCAGTCACCCGGCCTAGCTCACCAGCACGTGGTGGTTATTTTGCAGGATGATCTGGGAATTGTAGATGTCAATGTAGACCTGGTGAAGGTGGAAAGACTTAGGTCTGCCTACCAGCTTCTTGTTCTTGGCACTGATCTTGAAGAAGGGCATGTTCATGTTGGGGTGGCACACTTTCATCAGGACGTGCGCGCAGGTGCCCCGGATAAAGTGTTCACTGCCATCGAAGCTCACGTACCGGGCATCCCCTGAGACCCGGCACACTCCCCTACCTGGAAGGAGAGAGAAGTGGTTAAGGGATCCCCCTGTCTCTGGCGAGAACAGGGTCCCTTGGGAGGTGGTCCTGCACTAACCCTGCCTTCCAGAAAAAAGGCTCTGGGAAAAGCCAGAAAGCCCCGAGAAGGAAGGAAGACAATATTCAAAAAAAGAGTCAAGGCCCAAGGGCCAGAGTGGCATGAGGCTTGGGGCTGCAAGGGGTGTGATTCTGCCAGGGAGGGATTTATAATATCCCATCTAAGTTCACAGCCACTACCGGAGAGGGATGGGTGAACTCCAGGTGCCTTTCCTGGCAGTGAGAGGTCATCATTCCCGCCTGAAGCTCTTAGGTGCTGCAGGGGTACTAACCTGACCCCGAGTGCTACAGGTGTCAGGGAGAGTGTGGGGAGTGGAGAGAGCTGTCTTTGGTGGCTGTGGGCTCCTCCCCAGCACTGTGGCCCTCCTACCTGAGACCCGGCAGCGGAGCACACCATCCAGGGACCAGCACATCTGGTTGGGTTTGCAGGTGGTTTGGAAGCAGGTGATATTGTTGTGGATGCTGCAGGTGCAGAGCCAGGAGCAGGTGCTCTCTGTGTACCAGCTCTCCCCCACCTGCGGACCGGGCCATCAGCAGAGCCAACAGAGACTTGGAGGCTGGAGGTGGCCTGAGACCCCCGGCCCCCTGCCCGCCCCTGGCACACTGAGCTGGTTGCTGTCTTTCTCTCGGGCCTTCTTCCTTGCCCCCAGCCTGGGCTGGCCCTTTCCCTGGCACTGGGCTTGGCAGCTGGGAAGGGCAGGTCCCCTTTGCTATCTGGCCTCTCACCAGGTGGTAGAAGCCCTTCGGGTCGATGCAGCCACACTGGCTGAAGGGCACGCAGGAGGTTCCACTCAGGATGTGGCCTTTCTGGCATTCACAGCCCTCGGCACAGGGTAGTGAGGCTGGGCAGTCCCTCGGGGCAACCAGGCTGAGGCAGGTGGCTGGACAGGGTCTGACACAGGGGCTGTAGCTGCTGCCGGGGGGGCACTTCAGAGCTAAGAAAAACCAGAACGTCAGGAAGAGCCGAGTAGCCTTTCCAGCTCCCTGACCTTGGGGCATCAAAAGTTCCTGCTAAGGCCTGGCACGGTGGCTCACGCCTGTAACCCTAGCACTCTGGGAGGCCGAGGCGGGTGGATTGCTCGAGGTCAGGAGTTCAAAACCAGCCTGAGCAAGAGTGAGACCTGTCTCTACTATAAATAGAAAGAAATTAATTGGCCAACTAATATATATATAGAAAAAAGTAGCCGGGCATGGTGGTGCATGCCTGTAGTCCCAGCTGCTGGGGAGGCTGAGACAGGATTGGATTGCTTGAGCCCAAGAGTTTGAGGTGGCTGTGAGCTAGGTTGATGCCACAGCACTCATTCTAGCCTGGGCAACAAAGCAAGACTCTGTCTCAAAAAAAAAAAAGTTCCTGCTAATATCCTTGGGCGGATGAAGAGATAAACACCCTGTGTTCTGTCTATACAATGGACCATTACTCAGCCTTAAAAAGGAAGGACATTCTGACACACGCTACAACACGGATGAGCCTTGAGGACATCATGCTGGGTGAAATAAGCCAGACACAAAGGACAAATACTGTACGATTCATCTTATATGAGGTCCTTCCAGGAGTCAAAGCCGTAGAGACAGAAAGTAGAACAGAGGTTGTCAGGGACTGGGGGAGGGGACGGTGGGGTTTTTTGTTTAATGGGGACAGAGTTTCAGCTGTGGAATAAAAAGTTCTGGAGGTGGACGGTGATGGTTGCACAACACTTGAATGTACTTAGTGCCACTGAACTGTACACTTAAAAATGGTTAAGATGGCAAATTTTATGTTATGTGTATCTTAACCACAATATTTTTTAAAAAAAGGTGATATCCTGAGCAAGAGAGGGAAAAAGGGAAGAGAGCCAGCCCAGGTACAAGGAGAAGGAGATAGTAACCAAATAAAGGCAGAACATTCTGGTGAGGGGAGGTCAGATGGAGGCGGCCCTGGTGCATGGAGACCAGGGAGGACGGGCTGGGCATGGAGAGAGGCTGGAGCAGAGAATGAAAGAAAGAAGGGAGGGAGCGAGGGAGGGACAGGGTGCGGAAGACCAGGCTGCACAAGGAGAGCAGAGGAGCAGAATTTAGGAGAAGAAAGGGAGGGCAGGTTCTGGAGGATTCGGGCTGCGGGAGTGGGTGGTGAGGTCACTCACGGCAGAAGGTGCTGTTTCGCCAGACAGGGGCCTGGCCGGCCTGGGTGCACAGGGATGCGTAGGCCTGCAGGGAGTGGCACAGGGCCGTGGTGTCACCCTTGGTCCCACATTGGCCACGCACGCAGCTGGCGAGGCTGGCCTGCGGGGGCACCACCTCGTGGCACTGAGAGAAGGGTCCTGCAGGACAAGACAAGGCAGGTGGCAAAGCAAATGAGAAGGAAGGGGCTGGAACATGTGACTTCTCTGGGGCTAACTCAACACCCACTTCATTCGGAACCTGGATTTGGGGAACCCACTGCCTGAGGCACACAGAAGGACCGGGCAGTCGCAGCTCCCAGGAAGGTGCCTGCTGGCGAGCCCTGCGTTCCCATTACCTTCCTCATGGTTCACATCTGTCTCCAGCCTCCCTCCTTCTCCTGCCCTGACCCCTCCCTGCAGGGGACGTGTCTTACCCTGAGGGTCCGTTAAGATGGCACAGTTCTTATTCCAGGTGTCTGTCATTTTGCCCTCTTGGCAGCCAGAGGGCCTGCCCTCCATGAGGAAGCAGCTGAAGGAGGAGAGGAGGGGGGATGGAAACTGAGGGCCAGAGGAAGCTTCCCCCACACTGAAGCAAAAGTGGAAGAAGAAAACAGGGAGGCGCACAGGAGAAGAGCACAAAATGGTGCCCTCCAGTAGGAAGGGCAGGAGATGCAACAGGAAGGAAAAGGCTAGCTCTCAGGGGGGACTTCCTAAGTGGGCTCTCCAAAGAGGTCACTAAGCACAGGGGAAATCAGCAGGCTTGGGTGTGGAAGTTGGAACCATTTTCCACCAACTCCAATTTCAGAGGGAATGAAAGGGAGATATTGGCAGGTTTCCTGCCAGTAGGGAGTTCAGCACTGGGTCAGTGAGAACCCATGGGGACACCTCCAGCTGCCCCCGAGGCTCTTCCTTAGGCCTAGCCCCTCCTGCCTGGCTCCCCCTACCCCAGCTCACCCAGGTTCAGAAGACTCAGGCAGCTTCCAGGAGGCCCCCAGCTGGATGGAGTTTTCTGTGGGCTTCTTGTCTGGGCGCAGGTTGTCATCCAAGCTGTTGTTGTTGTAGTTCCCTGGAGCAAGGAGCAGCTAATAGAGGACCTGCCAGCAGACCAGTCCCGAGGCCACCATCTCCCCGATCAGAAAGGCATCCTCACTCCTCACTTAATATGTCAAGGTCAACACTTTCTCTCTCTTCTCCTGCCAACTTCCCTTAACTCCTACTCTCCTGCCCAATGCCTTCAACACTATCAGTTGACTGGCACTTAGGACGCCTAATAGAGATGTGGGGGAGAGTGGGACCAGGCCACAGGCCTGCCTATTGTCCCAGCTCCCCCAAAGTGACCCAGGGAACTCACCACACAGCCCACAGAGCTGGCCCGCATAGGAAGAAGGCACTGTCACTTCCACCAAGTGGACCCCATCATAGCGAACCAGGAGCCCAATGGTTGTGTAGAGGACAACAAAGATGCCACTGAGCCTTAGGGTCACCAGGCCTTTCAAAGGCCACACAGGGAGGGCCACCCGATGGCCGTTTAGCTGCAGAGGTGGGGAGGATATAGAAGGGGGACTCAGGAAGGAACATGGGACAAACACACAATGGGGACAGAAACCTGGGAGCAGGGGGTGGGGGACAGGTGTTTCCCAGATTGGGGAAGGAGTCCAAAGGAGGTGAGGCTTAGGGTGCTGCAGGGCACCCCCAGGGGCCCTAAGAAGCCAGTCAGGCAGCACATGGACAAGGAGTAGCAGAGGAGAGAGGCTGAGCAGGCTGGGTGGAGGGTCTGGATTGGGGGAGGCACGCACCATGACCTTGCGGCCTTTGAGCAGTGAGATCTTGAGGCCGAAGATCTGCACATGGACGGCTTTCACGAAGGAGGCCTCCAGGATCCCCCCGCGGTTCTCGTTGCTGGTACTCACAACAAAATAGTTCTGTGGGAGCTTGGTCCAGCAAGGCTTGGTCAGGACGTAGGTGCAGGTGCCCATGAAGTGGTGCAGGGCTCCATCGAATGTCAGGTAGTGGGGGTCACCCGAGGCAGTGCAGGTGGCAGCCCCTGGGGAGGAGAGGATGGCATTCAGAGCCTCACTGCCCCACTCCCTGGAAGCCCTGACCTAAGGCTGCCACCTGGGCGCATCCATGTAGGGATGGGATGGTCCCACGGCCCATCCATGTCAAGGAGGAAGTCTCCCCTCCCCAGCTCCACTCTCTGAGTCCTTGAAGATGCTGCCCCTGCTTCAGGCAACTGCTTTCCGGCCCCTGCTTGAGCCCAGCTCTCTGGGGAGGCTGCTTTGGGCAGGGCCATCCCCTTGCCTGAGGTCACCTGGGCAGCCCCTGGGTCACCTTCCACCTGACCACTCACCTAGGGCATGGCAGCCATAGATGCCATCCTGATAGTCACAGATCTCCTGGGCCTTACACTTCCAGGAGTAGCAGCGAATTCTGTTGTTGTCTTTACAGAAACAGAGCTGCCTGCAGCCTGGCTTGTGCCACTTCTCCCCAACCTAGGGGAAGGGAGACAGTAAGGGAGGGAAGCAGTGTTTCCCAGGTTCTGACACCAGAGCCCACAGAGCTGTTCAGTTGGCCGGCCCACCCACGAGACCACCCTGTCTTCCCAAAGCTCCACGATCAGCCACAAAACCCTGGCATTCAGGTGGTGATTCAGTCACTTTACCAGGAGTTTGTCCACTACTTCAGCAAGTTTTTTATTTATCTGTCTGTATTGTGCTAGGTGTCAGGGACTCAGGAGTGCACTCTATGGACAATGTCCCTGTGCTCATGGCACTCACAATCCAGTGGGGGGCAGCAAACACGTGTACTAATAAATGACTGTGCTCCAACACCGCATGCACCCAATCCAGCCATTGGGGTAACCCCCAGGGACACAGACAATAAACACTTCCTGCAAAGAGGCTTTCTGACTTTGCTTATCAGGGAGGCTTCTAGGAGCAGGAAGCATTTCAACAGGCCTCAAAGGAGGTGAAGGATTTGTAAAAGAAAATAAAAAAATCTCATGACAATCCCCCCAACTCCCTATGTAAAAGGGAAGGTAAAGGCCTCAGGCCCCTGGGAAGGGCTGGCCTCACAGATCATTCATGAAGGAAATTCCTTGCTGGCCTCCCATAAGAAGGACATGCAAATTGTGACTTTAGGTCTGCAGGCCAAGTCTAGCTGCTACAACTAAAGTCTGTTCAATTCCTGCTAACAATGAATTACAAATTTACTTGCCCAGGTGCTGAACGAAGTCAGGATCGAGCGCTCTTCCACCTAAGCAGGGATTTCTGCATAACTGATGTTTCTTTCCCTCCCTTTTTCTCTTACATTCGCCTCATCTTATGTAAAATGTAGATTTTCCTGGGTCTCACAAGCATATAACCATTTTGTCTCACTACTCCAGCCCCTGTTTTTTTTCTTCCTATTTTGTGTGCCCTACTCCCCTTAAATACTGCAGATTCCAAATTCTCCTTCTGAAAAACAGACACAGATTTGTCTGTGGTTTGTGTTTTTCCGAGGTTCGTCCTCAACTTCAGCTTAATAAACCTCCATTGATCGAGATCTTTGCCTCAGTCACTTATTTGGGTGGACAGATACCAATGGGCCAAGGTGGCTGGGCAGCAGAGCAGGGGGACAGAAGGGGCTGGCCTACTGGTGGCATGGCGGGGAGGAGAGCACTGCCCAGATAGAGAGCACTGGGCAGCCCAGCCTGGACTGGGCGGAGGGTGCAGAAAGCCAGGGGGACGTCAGGTGGATAGTCGGGGGGCACTGGCGCCACTGCCAGGCCCTGGGTGAGGATCCATCAAAGAAGGAAGAAAGAAGCGCCACAGACAAAGGTCTGGCTCCAACTGCTGCCTCTGAGAAGTCTAGAAACAGGGGCACGGGAAGGGCCAAGATTCCTTCAGCTGAGAAAGGGCCCCTGGGTCAAGAGAAGACAGTGTTTGGAAGGAGTGCAGGTGACACACAGAGGTTCTCATGCCTTAGGAGGACAGAAACTCGGGGCAAAATGATTCAGTGAAGTGATGGCAGAAGGAGGCAGCAGGAATGGTGGGAGAGGCCAGAACCGGAGGTCTCAGGCTTTATGAGGCAGTGTGGGAAGTAACTGTGCCCAGATCTGCGGAGAGTGATGGGGGTGGGGACTGAGGGGGGAAGGACCAGAGCTGAAGAAAGAGAAAGGGAAATTTGATCCCAGCCAAAATTTCCCTAATCCCAGCCCTAAACCCCAGGCTCCTCCTGCACACCCCAAGCCTTCTCACTCCCTGCCTCTCACCCTCACTTTGGGCTGTTTAACAACAGGGAGCAAGTCCTTCTGGCTGAGAGGCCCACCCAGCCACTCACCTTGAAGTAGCTCCCGTTGGAGTCGAGGCACCCACACTGGGATTGGGGGACGCAGTTGAGACCACTGAGCACGAAGCCCGGGTTGCACTCGCAGCCCTCCACGCACCGGTCTGGACAGAACATGCCAGAGAATGCTGAATGGCAGGTGTCAGGGCACGGCCTGGCACACAGGGAGTACTTGCTGTTGGGCGGGCAGGCCAGAGCTGACGGAGGGAGAAGCTTGGGTGAGAAAGAGACAGATAAGCCACGGGGGAGAAAAGGGAAGACGAGCATGTTCAGAAGGCACCCAGCATGTGGATCTTGAGAAGAGACAGTGACTTCAAGGAGCTTGACTGAGGAGCCCAGCTGGCTCCCAGGACCTCCTGGAAGCCAAGCAAGCTGCCTGTGCCAAGGGGCTGTTGCTCGGATGCTAGCACAGACCTGCTGCGGGAGCAGATCGCTCCATGGGAAGAACAGCACAGCAGTGCTGCTGTGTAGACAAGCCCCAGGTGAGTGATGGAAGGGGTGGAAGGCCCACCCGTGGGGTCAGATCCTAAAGCAGCTTCCCCAGATAGCTGAGCCTACCAGAGCTGGCAGGCAGAGCCTCCCCTCGCCCTGGGTCTGCATCGTGTGCACCGGTCCAATGACTTGGGCTGCACATAAACACATCTGCACATGCCCTGCACAGTCCCAGGTAGCCAAGAAGCCTTTCTGAGTTTGCAAGTGACTGTGATTTTCTCAGTGGAGATTTCCAACTCCACAAATTTCCCCATCCTGGTGTGGAAGTGAGGGGTTCCACCAGGTATGTCCCAAGCCTGCACCGACCCTCTTGTCCCTGTCTAAGGGAAGGGGTCCTGCATCTCTCCCCTGCTCCTTGGCACAACTCACGGCAGAAATGGGGCTCCCTCCAGGGCTTCATGGGGTAGCCGGCATCCTGGCAGCTCGTGGTCATGGCTGACATGTGGGCACACAGCATCTGCTGTAGCCCCTGGAAGTTGCACATGTCAAACATGCAGTTGTCAAAGAAGGAAGTGGCCTTTAGGTGAAACAGACATGCCCTGTGGAGGGAGGCCGAGTCAGAGGGAACGAGGGGACAGAACTTCCTGGCGCCCACCTCGGAGGACCCCAGGTGTCATGCTACCCCAAGTGGCTCTGCCTGCCCCCTTCATACTCAAACGGGCCGCGGGAGTCCACCAGCCGTCCACAGAACCCTGGCCCCGACATGTTGCTCTGCAAGGCTGAGTCACAGGATGGGGAGCTTGCCTGGCTCTTCTGGCACCTGGAAGAGACCCACCCCACACGCCCCCAGGGCCGAGGCTCACTTCCAGCTCAGAGCCCCTCACCCAGCAGCCAGCAAGGCTGAGAGGCTCTGGCACAGCTCTGGCAGCCCCTGGAGGAGGACTTTGAGCACTGAGCCCCAAAGGAGGGGGAACAGCCTGAAGTCTAAGGGTAGAGAGGAGACAGGGACAATGTCAGTCGTCAGTCGGTCTCACCAGGGAGGGCCACAAGGGGGCAGGAAGCCCTGGGCCCCATGGGAGGGCTCCTCACTCACTCCCTGTCCTCGTCCTCAGCCATCTGCCAGCTTTCCCCCAGTTCCTCCTCATCTCGGGCTGGCTGGCCATCCGGCTTCAGGTGGTCGTTGCTCATGTCACCGTCATAGTTTCCACATAAACCACAGAGTTTGCTAGAATAGGTCCTGGCAGGACAAGAGAGGAGTTGGTGTAAATGCAGAGAAGGGGTCTCAGCCATCAGGGGACCACAGCAGAGAAGGCGATCCACTGGGGACCCTCTGTCCTCCGACCCCAAGCCACCTATGCAGTCCCCCTCCTCTCCTCTGTGCACACCCCACTGTCCAGCCATGACAAACCCCTTGCTGGCCCTAACACACTCCAGCTCATTCTTGAGGGTGTGCTCGTTGTTTCCATAAAACTTTTCTCTGCCTTGTTCTGTCAATGGGGAGCCACTCTTCCTTGGAGAATGGGATCAAGTGACCGATTTTCTGAAAGCCCCCAGAGCCCATTAGCGACTCCTAGCACATTCTTAAAGAATTGTATATACATTCTGCTATTTATCACACTGTTCTGAAGCCATTTCCTCCCGTCTCCTCATCCAGACGGAGGCCTGCGACAGGAGCTGGGTGCTTCCCACCCATGGGAAGTACAGAAATGATCGAGTGGTGGTGTCTGGAACGCGAGGGGAAGAGGAGGGCAGACAGGAAGCAGTGGCAGCTGCCTGGCTGGAATGCCCCCTCACCTGGCCACACTCACAAACAGCTGCTGGTCGCCATCCCATCTCACCCACAAACCAAACTCTGTATGCAGCTCCACAAATCGTCCACTAGCAGCCAGGAAGACGCCTTTAGAAGGTATGGCTGGGAGGGTGACTTGCTGACTCCCAACCTGGATGGAAGGGCAGAGTGAGGAGACAGAGACAGATCTGGGGGTCAAGGAGGACCCCAACAGACTCCCACATCCATGGCTGGAAGGCACTACATCCCCCAGAGCGGCCTAACAACCTCTTCCACCTATAGTGGTTTGGAGCTTCCCCGAACTGCTGTATTGAACCCATCCCTGCGAGGGTTCCGGGACTGGAGGAGCTGACCTGGAGGAGGCCACAGCAGCCCACGGGAATAGGCCACAGCCAGGGCCCCACAGGGGTGGAAGTGGAAGACAGGGCTCACCAATGTGCGTCTGCCTTTGAGCAGGGTGACGGTAGTCTCAGGCAGGGTCACGTAGACTTTGTTCAGGTAGGACATGCCTTGCTGTTCCCATCCGTCTTTCACTGCTGTCACCCTGAAGAATGGATCTGGGAGGGGAGAGGGATGAAGAGGGCCCAGGGGCTCGCTCAGCACCTGGCCCTGTGGCAGAGCCCTGAGCCTGGCCCTACAGGGAGAGAAGGCACAGAGACGCCACCCCGAAGCTCAGGAGGGGAGGCAAGACCCAAATGGGAGCAGGGCATGACTGTCTGCCCCCTTCCAGAACAGCCTGCAGCTGCTGTGTGTCTGTCTCCCCTCCATGCACTGGGACACCCCCCAGGGCATTTGTGCTCCTTACCAGTCCCTTTTACGGTAATGTCCCTATGCCAGGAGGGCCCTCAATAAAAGCTGGCCAAGGGAGCAACTGATCAGGTAAACTATTTTAAACCACATTTCCCCAGCAGCCTGGGCCTGAGAAGGTCCCTCTGCTGGGGTGGGTGTCTCAGCTCTTACTTTACAGAAGAACTCACTCCAGTTTTGGCCCTTCCCCCATCTTCTCCCCACCCTTTCCTGCCACCCAGCATGCCCCCACGTCCAGCAGCTCTGCCTGCAGACCCACGGCCGAGGGAGGCATCTCCAGGGCCCTACCTGTTGAGTTGCCACAGGGTTGGGTCAAGATGTAAGTGCATCTGCCCATGAAGCCAAAGTGCCTCCCATCAAAGGTGACATAATGAGGGTCTCCATAGACTAAGCAGGTGCCAAAGCCTGCCGGAGGGGAAGAAGGGACCAGAAGAAGCTGCCTCCACTGCCCCCCATCCTGGCTGGCTTCATATGCTGGCCTGCCCCCCACCCGATGGCACGCCCCAGCTCCTCTGCCCAAGCAAGGGATTGGGATCCCAGTGTCATTTCCACTCAAACGGGCTGGCAGGCAGGGGCAGCGTAAGCGGGCTCTCACCATAGGAGTAGCATCCATACTGGCCATTTTTCAGCTGGCACATTGTACGTGCCCCACACTGAGAGCTCTGGCACTCGATCTGGTTGCCAGGCCAGCAGTGGCAATATTCTGTGCAGTTGGGGCTGAACCACTCTGCCCCAGTCTGGAAGCAAATGATGCAGAGTCACAAAGCCATAGCTCTTGGGGGCCCTTCCCCCTTCTCCCCACCATGCCAGGACAGAGGAAGCTCTCCTGTGCAAAGACCTAAACTTGCTCATATTCTTCCTCTTCCCACCACTTACCTGATGTTCCCACCCACCACAGGACATTTGCACGTGCTGTTCTCTTATCCCAGAATGCTCTTCCCTCCCCTTTTCTAAATCATTCCTATGCAACCAGTGGAGTTCAACTCAAATGTGGCTTGCTCAGGAAGACTTCCTCAGCTCTGGGTACCCTTCCTTCCAAAGACTTAACCACAGTTGCACTTTAGATTTATTTTTGTGATTGATCATAAGCACCCCAGGTGAGGGTCTACACCTGTCTTTACTCACCTTCTTAGCACCAAGATGAAAGTTCTTGTTCAATAAATGCATGCTGAATGAAAGAGTAAACCAAGACCCAAAGTGTACCCTGAGAGCATTATAAGGGCAAGGACCATGCCCTTTTCATGGTGACCCCAATGCCAGGAGAGCAGAAAGCACTAAATAAACATTTGTTAAATGCACAAATGAATATATCATGAGTTAATAATATATGCCTCCCAGGGCAGAGGGAAGAGATTCTTGGTGCTGATGGATGTGAACAGATCTTTCTGTACAGGCTACAGCTGAAGCTAATCCTGACACTAACTCAGGGAGACCCAGGAGACTAGTTAAAGGGGGTTGGGGGAGGAATGGTCCTATAAGAGACAAGCAGGAGCTCTGATGTCAGCAGGAAAAACACCTAACACCTGGAGCCGAGAAGAGGCACTGGACATTAACAAAGCGCTTAATTAATAGGTTGCATGACATTTATCATAAATTGCTAAAAATAGTCATTAACATTTATTAAGTAATTACTATGCGTCAGGATCTAATTTCATCCTTACAAAGATTTCATAGGAGGTAGAAAATCTTATTGTGCACACTTTATAGATAATGGAAACAGATTTAAAGAGATAAGGAAACTTGCCTAACATCACCCAGCACAAATGAGTGCTGGAGCCAGGATTGAAGCTCAGGTCTACCTGACTCTAGACATGTGCTGTTCAATACGGTGGCCACCAGCCACAAGTGGCCACTGAGCTCTTGAAACGTGGCCAGTCCGAATTGAGATAGACCGTAAGTGTAAAATACACACTGGGTTTTGAAGAGTTAGTATGGAAAACAAACAAAAAAGAATGCAAACTACCTCATGAATAATTCTTTTTTATATACATTGAAATGATAATATTTTAATATTTAGGATTGAGGAGATTATTAGAATTCACTTAACCTGTTTCCTTTTGCTTTTTAGTTATTTTTTTTTTTCCTGAGTAGGGTCTCACTCTGTCTCCCAGGCTGGAAGGCAGTGGCGCGATCACAGCTCATTGCAACCTCCTCCAACTCCTGGGATCAAGTGATCCTCCTGCCTCAGCCTCCTGAGTAGCTGGGACTACAGAGGAGTGCCACCATGCCTGACTAATATTTAAAAAAAACTTTTTTTTTTTTGTAGAGATAGGGTCTCACCATGTTGCCCAGGCCAGTCTTGAACTCCTGGTCTTGAGCGATCCTCCAGCCTCAGCCTCCCAAAGTGCTGGGATTACAGGCATGAGCCACTGTGCTCTACCTCCTTTTGCTTTTTTAATGTGGCTATTAGGAAATGTAACAAGACATGTGTGGCTCACATGCTCTCTCTGTCGGACAGTGCTGGTGCAGAGACTGAGCCCCTGTAGAGCCTCTGCTCTGTTGCGTCTCCCCGGGAGACCACCGATTAGGGCAGACAAGGACAGTAACTCCTCTCTTTTTTACCTATCAGGTTTGCAAGATCCTCTGGAAGGAGAAAATTACAGAAATATTGAGTCTGGGAGGAGCACCTAGCCCTGGACCACAGGAGGACTGACTCCTCAGCACAGCCTAGCATCTGGGAGCCAACACAGAAGCTTCACAAAGACTTTGTGTATGAACAGTGCGGACCATCAAAAGCCACATGCTGAATGAATGACTCCACCATTGTGTAACTGCCGCTTCTGAGCTGACCCCTTGGCAATATTCCAAGGACCCAAGTTCACTTCATCTGGGGAGCAGATGGAGCCAGAACCCAGGTGTTCAGCCACCAACATCCTCAGGGGATCTGAGCCTCCCTGAGGTCTTACCTTGTAGTTGTAGTTGTTGTAGAAGCAATCGCAGGAAGAGGCATTGATGCAGCCATTGTCACTAAACAAAAAGCCGGGGTTGCACACGCAGCCCGCCTGGCAGAGGAGCCCACAGCTGGGCCTGGGGTTCTTGCAGGAAGCAGGACAAGCACAGGATTCATAGTGCGCATTCAGGGGGCAGCTCTCTAAGGGGAGAACACAGCCTCCATCAAGCCTGCCCCCTCCGCCTCTCCTCTACCGCCAAACTCAAGTGCCTTTCCAAGACGTAGGCCCTTGTTACTCAGCTCTGACACATGCTACAACAGGGTGAACCTTGCAAACATTATGCTCAGTCACAGACGCCAGACACAAGGCCACATACTGCATGATTGCATTTGTATGGACTGTTCAGAACAGGCCGAGCCACAGATATAGGAAGGAGATTTATGGCTGTCAAGGGCTGGGGCAGAGGGGACTGGGGACCGACTGCTAATGGGTTCAGGGTTCCTTGTCAGCATGATGAAAATATCTCAAATTGGAAGATGATGATGGCTGCACAAACTTGTGAAGAGATATAAACCAGGGAATTGTACACTTTAAAAGGAAGAATTTTATAGACTATGAATTATATCTCAATAACAAACAAGGAGAAGGAAACCTAGGGCTTGGTTCCCAACAAACTCATGCACTCGGGCCCCGCCGTCCCTCTTGCGCTGAGTGTCCCCATCCTTTCTTCTAAAGTTGCCATGGACCACCGCAGCTCTCCTCTAAGACTGCGATTTTTCTACCAGAAGCATCCCTTTCCCCGACTTTGTCTCCTAGCCACTGTCTCTTTCAGCTTTGGCAAATGCCCTACCCACCTCATACCTGTAGCAGGTCCAGGAGTTGTGGTGATGCCCAGGGTTGCACTGGTCATGGAGGTATTTGGAACATGTTGAGGCACCATCCCCAGCAATGCTGGCACAGTGTGCACCAGGACTGTGCTAGGGTGGGGTGTCACAGTAGTTGTGGGCTCTCTAGTCACACTAGTGGACTCTTTAATAGGGGTGGTAGGTTTTTCAGTGGGGACAGTAGGCTCTTTGGTGGGGATGGTGGTCTCTTCGGTGAGGGCTGTAGGCTTTTCAGTGTGGACAGTGGGTTTTTCTGTGGGGACAGTTGTTTCAGTGTGGACAGCGGGTTTTTCTATGGGGACAGTAGTTGTTTCAGTGTCGACGGTGGGTTTTTCTGTGGGGACAGTAGTTATTTCAGTGGGGACAGCAGTTGTTTCAGTGTGGACAGTGGGTTTTTCTGTGGGGATGGTGGTTGTCTCTGTAGGGACAGTGGGTTGTTCTGTGGGGACCGTAGTTGTCTCTGTGGGGACAGTGGTTGTTTCAGTGGGGACAGTAGGTATTTCTGTGGGGATAGTGGTTGTCTCTGTAGGGATGGTGGGTTGTTCTGTGGGGACCGTAGTTGTCTCTGTAGAAATGGCAGGTTCTTCTGTGGGGACTTCTGTGGGGATGGTGGGTTGTTCTGTGGGGACAGTAGTTGTTTCTGTGGGGACAGTGGTTGTCTCTGTAGAGATGGTGGGTTGTTCTGTGGGGACCATAGTTGTCTCTGTAGAAAAGGCAGGTGCTTCTGTGGGGACTGTAGTTGTTTCTGTGGGGATGGTGGGTTTTTCTGCGAGGCCAGTGGTTTCAGAAGGGCCAGTGGGGGAAACTGGAGATTTGTCAGGAGGCACTGGTGGCACTTGTGCTGCAAAGAAAAAAAAGTCTTTGGCATTTAGTCAAAATGATACCACTACCTTCTTAACTCACATCTAACTGGAGTGGGTGGGCTCAAAGGGGTAACTTATTCACCCCAATCCTCCTACTCCCAACCCCCAACCTTCACTCACTTGACAATCACTCAACAAACACTGTTCCTAATCTATGTCAGGTATCACTCCAGGTACAAGAAACACAAAAATAAACAGGATATGGGTCCTGCCTTTAGGATCACTAGGTGAGAGGTTCTGGAAGCAGCCACCGACATGCATGACACCAAAGCCACATTCACTCAGGCCAGCACCCTGAGGGTGCTGGGGAGGCAGAGGTGGGCAGAATGCAGCAAGCAAAGCCAGCTGGGTGCGAACTCAGGCACAGAGAGGATTTGTGTACTATGCAACTCATACAGAGAAGCCCACAAGACGGTCATCTCAGGGCACAGCCCCCTTGGGTTCTGTCTTACCTCGACAAATCCCATGACTGACCAAGATGAAATCTATTGCGACAACAAAGGCGGTGCTGCTACCCCTGGTGGCCTTAAAAATCAGCTGCAGGCAACCAGGGAGAGAGAAGAAAGAGAGAAGTGAAAATGAATCCCCTGCAACTCAGCGACTCTGCTGGGCAGGAGTCTGTCCTCTGCCAAAATGTCACCTTGTTCCAGCCGTAACAGTCCCACCCCACCCCTGCCCCCTTGTCCTCGGTACCTCTGAGTACCAAGGGAAGCCTCTTCTCCGCTCCCTTTCCTCATACAGGGCCTACCAGCTCTGTCTCTCACCTGCATGGGCTGCTGATGTCCTGAAGAGATGGTGATGGAGGCGTTCTGCCAGTCAGGGCTCTGAGACCCCACGCGGCTCCAGAGAGTAATCGGGGTGCTACCCGCAGGACTACCCAGCAGGAACTTAAGCGTAGTGCCTTCTCCAAGGCCATACATGTGGTAAGCAAACTCCACACAGATGTCACCCGGGGCACAGAAGGGCCGGCTCACCAGTATGACAGACTGCCCTGCCTGGGAGAACTTGTCACTTTGGAGGTAGATATAGTGAGACCCTAGGAAAGGACAGGCACAGGCAAGATGGGAGAGCTGCCCAGGACAAGTCTATTGCTGCAACACCCTGCTTCCCCAGTGGGGATCTGAGCAAGCGCCCAAATTGCCCACATTGTAGTATGTGTTTTCTTCCTGATTCTGCCTTTCTACCTGAAAGCAGGATCAGAGAGAAGGGGACAAAAAAACCAAACCAGCAACCGTGATTTCACTGTTGGCTGCACTTGTGTCTTTTTTCTTTGAGACAGAGTCTTGCTCTGTCACTCAGGCTGGTGAGCAGTGATGCGATCATAGCTCACTGCAGCCTCAAACTCCTGAGCTCGAGCGATCCTCCTGCCTCAGTCTCCTGAGTAGCTGGGATTACAGGTGTGTGCCACCACACCTAGCTAACTTTTTTATACAGAGGGGGTCTTGCTATGTTGCCCAGGAGCCTCAAGTGAACCTCCTGCTTCGGCCTCCCAAAGCGTTGGGATTACAGGCACGAGCCATCTTGCCCAGTGTAAATGTCTTAACTGAAAATGATATTGTAGATTTGGAAGCCTTGGGCTCAATAAAGTGAGATGCCTGAATTTTCTGAGGGCTTCAGTGACCCCAGAGCCCTGAAAATCCTCAACTGACTCTACTCTGCCATCTCCACAGCTTTGGCCCATGGCAATCTCCCCAATAAACATCTGCTGGCTGATTTCACTACATATAACTTCTTCCATCAGTCGCATCAGCCAGCCCCCATGCCAGGAGCAGATTACTGAATCTGATTCATTGGCTTGAGGAGTCCTCACCTCTAGGGAAATCCGTGCTTTGGAGGGGTACATTTCTATGTCCCCGGATCCAGTGTCCACCATCTTGCGATTTCTGGGTCCAGTCACAGAAGGGGTGGTCATCATCTTCAAAGTCACACTGAGGAAAGCTCTCTAGCATATCAAAACAGGGGACATGAGGAAGCTGGGCCACACTCTCCATCTCTCCCCTAGCCCAACTCAGATTCTCAGAGGTGTGGGCCCCCTGGGGCTGCTCTCACCCCCACAGGGAGCGATGCTGATGTCATCCACTGCCACAGCTGGCTCTGGGATCTTTCCAAATACGCCCACCACGGTAAACTGAAGAGAGAGGGAAAGTGGGCTAGGGGTGAGCAACAGCCCAAAGCCCCAGTGACCTGATTCGATTTTACTGCATTCAGGGACCCAGGACCCTCATTCCCAGTGCCCAGACCCTCAATCCATTTAGACATTGAGGGTGCCTGCCACGGGCAAGGACCTGACCCCTTGCTTCTCTGTACCTGTATCTGTCCTTGTCCCGTGTAATTGACTGAAACAGGTTGCCAGTTGGGTTTGGGTTGTCCTGAGAAGAGGGTGTGTCTCCGGATGCTGCCTGCAATGAAGGGAATTGGAGAAGAGCTTAAGGTGACTGGGAAATAACTTAAAACATATACTCAGAAGGATGAGTAGCAGAGGATGTGCTTGGGGAATGTTCCCCCAAATGCAAGCACATCCTTCTCTCACTCTCCTGGCACCTTTATCTATTTTTCTAGAATCCAGTGCCCTTTCAGCCCCCATTTCCACTTCATGTGGAACAGTATGTGCGGGAACAATCCCACACATATCTCAGACTTCCCTTCACCCTGAGGGATGCCCCATATTTCCCTGTAAAGCCCACCCTGGGAGATGAGCCCAGGTCAGTGCAAATCCCATGAATTCTCTACTCTAACCCAAGACTGAAGCATAGACGTGCAGGGCTGCACCAGGAGACTGGCCCCAGAGGGTGTAGTGGAAGGAAAGGCTCAGACAGCCGGAGGAGTGGCTCAGGGGGCTCAAGAAGACCGATTTCTGCCTGGGTCTTGCATTCCTGGGGTCCAGGAGCATGTAGTAGCCATCTGCGAAGGAAAAGGCCAGGAAGATGGGGTGGCTGGAATTAGGGGAGTATGGCAGCAGGGAGAGGGCGCCAGGGAGTCTGGAGACCTGGCCCAGGGGAAGCCCCAACAGCAGCCTAGAATCAGGCAGCGCTGAGGTGGGCCTACACATGTGTCACAACTGGCTGTGGCCTTCAACATTCCCCGAAATGCTTAGGCTGGGTGAGGACTCGGCGCCACCAAAGGAAACGTGGGCATCCTCTCAGAAGCAGCAGCCAGAAACTTTGTCCTTTGGTTGCTAACTCTTCAAGTCCCCTAGTCACAGCCTCTTCCTTTTCTTGACTTACTGGGCATAGCTTTAACACAAACTGGTGAGAGACGGCGGGTGTCACACAACCTAGCGGGCGGCTCCCCACCCTTTGCCCCGCCCCCGCAGCTCAGGAAGCCAATCATCTTGGACCTCGCTCCCTGACGCAACTGGTAGCAGGGAGAAGATCTACGCCGCTGGCGACCCTTGGGGAACGCGCGCTCGCGTGCGTGCGTGCTCGTGCCCGACGCTCCCCGCGAGCGCGCTCACCGGGCGAGGAAGGTGGGCGCGGGGGACCGAGGAGGGGGTGGAGAGGAGGGAGAGAGCAGAGAAGGAAGGAAACGCGGAAGAAGAAAGCGGGGAGGGGAAGGAAAGTAGGCGGGAGAGGGGGAAAGAGAAAGCAAGGAGTCACAGGAGAAATGGGAGAGGAAGAAGGGAAAGATGAAATAAAAAACAGCATTTACTGGCCGGGCGCAGTGGCTCACGACTGTAATCCTAGCACTCTGGGAGGCCAAGGCTGGCGGATTGCTCGAGGTAAGGAGTTTGAAACCAGCCTGAGCAAGAGCAAGACCCCCGTCTCTACTATAAATAGAAAGAAATTAATTGGAAAAATTAGCTGGGCATGGTGGCGCATGCCTGTAGTCCCAGCTACTTGGGAGGCTGAGGCAGAAGGATTGCTTGAGCCCAAGAGTTTCAGGTAGCTGTGAGCTAGGTTGACACCATGGCACTCACTCTAGCCTGGGCAACAAAGCGAGACTCTGTCTCAAAAAAAAACCACAAAAAACAGCATTTACTGATACTGCTGGGCAGGGAGCAGTGCTGAGTGCTGTGGGTGCGGCTTCGCAAGGCCTTTCTAGAAGGCGAAGTCCAGGCAGCAGAGAGCTCAGAGTTCCTCGGATGCCAGTGGGCCAGGGCGAGGGACAATGGGGAAAAACGTAGAACATGTGGACAGGATAAGGTGGAAGGGAGGAAAGGGACTGAGAAAGCAGAAATATGAAGGGAAAAAGAAGAGGTATAAACTCAGAAAGGAAATGAGGCTGCAGGGTCCTGTATGTTTGCCCTACAGTGCTTGGCTCAGTGAGGGCTGGAGTGGGTTGTGTGGAGGTTGAGAGGGGAGGCGAATGCTGTGTGGGAGAGAAAAGGAAGAAGTGAACAGTAGAAAGAAGAGCCCAGCTGGGGGCCCAGGGAGGTGGCGGAGAGAAGCTAGGGATAGCCGTGGTTGGAAAGAAGAGAAAGTTACTTGAATTATCGCAGAAACCTCCTAAATGGGCCCCTGCATCTCCCCTTGCCTGCTCCCCTTAGTGGATTCTCTACACAAAAACCAGGTGATTGTTTTAAAATAAGTCAGATCAAGTCACTCCTTTGCTCCAAGTCCTGCAAAGGCTCCCATTCACATAGGATAAAAGCCACAGTCCTGACAATGGCCTTCAAGTTACCCTTCCAATAACAGGTCTGAGTGCATCCTCTTCATCCCAGCCATGTGGTGCGTTGCTGTACCTCAATCCCCTCCCTGGCCAGCAGGCCCACTGCCACCTCTGGGCCTTTGCACTGGCTGACCCTTCTGTCTGGAATGTTCTTTCCCACCCCAGTCTTTTCCTGCCTCACTCTCTCAATTCAAGTTTGTGCTCAGATATGACCTGAACAAGACCTACCCTATTTACAACTGACAACCTATCCCCTACCCTTGCACTTCCAGTCCCCTTCTTTCGTTCAACTTTTTACTTTGCTAATAGCACTGCTCACCTTATAACTATATGATTTCTTCTTCGTTTCAGTAACTGTCTCCCCCTCAACCCCCACTACTCCTGTTTTGTACACTGATGTATTTCAAGTGCCTAGGACAGTGCCCAGCACATCATAGGTGATCCCTAAGTATTTCTTGAATGAATGAATGAATGAATGAAGCATGAAAGGTACCAGGGAAAGGAAGTAAGGAGCAGACTGTGTTGGGTCTGAAGTGGTAGGGAGGAGAAGCTGGCTGGGTGCTTAGAGTTTGCTTCCTTCCATGAAACTTGAGCTTATAGAGGCTTGAGGCTGTGGGGGTTTGCCGCAGACTGTCCCAGTGCAATTATTAGAGGGTTTATGGAGGTCACCAGAGCCCAGAAAGTCAGAGGATGGAAGCGTGCTTGGTACTCACTGCCAGGGCTAGAGAAGTCATCGTCGGGCCCCATGCCTGGCTTCCCCGATTGTCCCTTCTTCTGGATCCACTTGGCTCCAGTGGCAGTTGGGATCCAGCTCCAGCCACAGAGATCATTTGGAGTGTCAAAGCTGCACATCTGCATCATGCAGACTGAGAGGAAAGAAAGGAAGGGAGGATGCAGGATGCAACTTTTTCTTACTGGAGGCAGCTCAGAAAAAGATGCCTCAGTCTAGAGTCAGGATTCTGGGTTTCACCATGTACCATGGTGGGCTTTCGGACTACGTGTGGTCCCACTACCCACTGACTGTGTTCCTGGCACAGGTCACTTAACCTGCCCAAGTCTCAGTTTCCTCATGTGTAAATTGGGAATAATAGTGCCCACCTCATCAGGTTGTAAGTTAAATCATGTACATTTGGATTATCTAGACCAGTCCCTATGCTCAGTAAACGTCAGTTTTTTCACCCAGCTTCTGGAATTTTCCTTCCCTTGGATTTGCTCCCCTGAAATCTCCAAAATCAGTTTAGAGGACTAATGCTGGATGGATTGGGATAGGGGTGGGTAACAGCTAGGGTAACTCACCATCCAGGTTTACCTGGAACTGAGGGCTTCCCAAGATGCGGGACATTCAGTACTAACATAGGGACAGCCCAGGGCAAATGGGGATGGTTGGTGACTCTAGAACAGGCATCACTCCAACTCTATGTTGAAAGAGAACCTATCTTTCAGTGGGGCTGCTTTAGGGGTCAAAGCTGTGTGTGGGGATGGCAGCAGAAGGACGCAAGCAGCCTCAATTCTGGGAACCATGAAGGTCCTGGTCCCTGAGCTGCTCCTGCACCCCGGGCAGTTCTGCAGAACCAGGGACAGGAGGAGGGACAAGAACTCACCCCGACTGCAGGAGCCTCGGTGGATAGAGATGGCATCCAGGGCGATGTCCAGGTAGGCAGTGTTGCCCCTCATTCCCTCAAACATCAGCTGTGGGAGGGCAACAAGGAGGCCGCCAATCCTGTGAGCCTCTTGGCTGGGCCTCCTGTCCTTTTGCATCTGGCTCTGGGTTCCTTTCCCGACTTCAGATGGCCTGGCCCCCATGCCCCCTCCCTGCCACAGCCCCCCAGCCTCCCCAACACCCAGATTCCCACCAGGGCCCCAAGATCTGCCCTTGGCCTCACCTGGGTGGGCAGAGCAAACCCCGCGGGCACAGTGACAGCGGTGGGCATCCAAGAGGGGCTCTGGGTGTTCCTGTGTTTCCAGAGCACACTGGGGCGCTGGCCTTGTGTGCTCGACAACAGCAGCAGTCGGAGCTGGGCGCCCCATGACAGCCCAAACATGTGGTAGACAAAGCGCACACAGAGGGGCCCTTGCACCCATAGGTAAGGGCTGCGCAGGCGGGCCACTCCGCCCCGGCGGAAGGCTTTCGATACCATGTGCAGGTAGTTGCCCTCTGGGGGAAGCAGGGCCCAGGCTGGTGAGGCCCTGCCATCCTGAGTACTGGCCCCACACACCCCCTTCCCTTCTCAGGGCCTGGCATCACTTCCCACTGTCTCTCTTCTTCTTCCAGACCTGCCTGTGCCCACCTCCCAGTGGCCTCCCTGCCCACTGCACTTTCCAAACCTCAGGCTTCCCTTGGTCCCCTCACCTCCACTGGGGTACCCCCCAAGGGGCCCGGTGGTGCCAGTTTTGGAGGGCCCGCTGGCTCGAATCCAGTCCCCATCATCTGCAGACACCTGGGTCCAGTCGCAGAAGGGTTTGGACTCATCCTCAAAATCACACCGGCTTAGGAGGGCTGGGAGAAAAGGGTCACTGTGAGGTTTTGGAGAGGGCAGAGGGCAGAGGGCAGGCCACAGAGCCAAACTGGGAGATGGAAGTTGGCAGGATTTCTGAGCTTAGAGAAGGTTGCCACTAATATTTGGCGTCCAGAACAGAGATCTATGAGAGAAACTCTTTTAGGAGAAATTCAGGGCTGGAGGACAGGGTGGAGTGGGTCATAAATGAGGGGGGGGTGGCTGGATTCAGCTGGACACACAGGCTTTGTCTGGGCAGTGTGTTTTGTTGTTTTCATAGCCCATGCCCCGAGGCCACTCCAGGCAGCCACCCCTAGGCTAGGGACTGGTGTTCTGGTGCCAGAACACAGATTTGGAGTAGGAAGAGGAGATCTGAGTCCTCCTGGGAGGACTTCCAACTCACTGCTGTCCTTGGAGCTGTCAATGGCTGGTTTCAAGTCCAGAGGCTTCTCTCTCCTTGGGGGTGGGTTGTAGAAAGCAAAAATGTAACCTTGTCATTACCAGGAATTATAAGGCTCAGTGACTGTGAGCTGAGTGGTCACTTAAGCATGGTTGTTCCTTTCTTTGTGTTTATACTATATCAATTTTTATGCAGTAAACAGATCTTACTTGTCTTTTTTAAGGTTTTCAGAAAGGTCACCTGCAGCCTCCTCACCAGAAGTTCTTATCTGTCTCCTAACAAATATATGCTTGAGGTGCTCACATCCCCACCGGTTCCCTCTGCCCTGTACCCTAGACGCTGTGAGCTATTGAGTGTCACAGGAGGAGGAAGCAGTTCCCCATGTTTATACCCTGGGGGGCTCCCTTCGTCTTTTTTCACTATAGCCAAAGTGTTTCCCCCATAGGTTGCCAGGTGGGTGGTGGGGTGGCCCTTTCCCAGCTCCACGCAACTGAACATATATATAAATGGTAGCAAAGAGATGGCCCTGTCTCTCTTCCTAACCTCACAAATGCCACAGAGAAGCCACTGCCCCTCTCCTGGTAATGTAGGCCACACAGAACAGCTCTTTTTTTTTTTTTTTTTTTTTTTGGTTCAAATTCTACTTCTTCAAATCCCTCCAAATAAGCTCCAGGACACCAGGCCATCCATTTCTTGCTGCCTCCTACTTGAAGTCTCTCTCATTATCAGTCTCATCAGACTTGAAGTCTCTCATCAGCTGGGTCCACCCTGGTCCATTTTCCAAGGGCCCCACTTCTCTGTCCCCTCCAGCCACAGATCTGTCTCCCCTACCCTGCACCTCCTGACCATCTCATTTCTCCTCAAATTTCAGCTCTGACCTACTCCTAGAACCAACTCCTCAACCCCAGGCTCTGGGGCTATGCAGTTAACCCCTTCCTGTCCCACCTGCTGAGGCCTGTGTTTCGTCTCAAGCCTGCTGGCTCCTCCAGCTCTACCCAGATCACCCCAGGTTTATCGCTACCCATGACCCCCTGAGCCCAGCTTACCAGGCAGGGGCAGGCATGTGGCCCTGGCCCCAGGCAGTCCCCACCAGCAGCATCAGAGTCCAGACTGGAGGAGCCATGAGAGACCTCAGAGGCAGCTCTCAGGGGAGAGGGGAAGGGACAGTGAGAAGCCCAGGCCACGTTTATACAGCCTGGGCCCTCCTCGCTTGGCACCCTTCTAAGGATGCCATGAGAAATGGACAATCAGAAAACACGAGAAAGCTCTGGGAAGTTAAAAGTAAGAGAGTGGAAATTTAAAATCCAAGAGAAGAGTTATAAATTGAAATCAAAGGAACTAAAAGAGAGAAAGAAAAGAGGAAGTCAGAGGATCAATCCAGGAAGCCTAACATCAAACTCGAAGAATTTAAAAAGAGAGAACAAAGGAAAAGAAAATTATTTTTAAAAAAGGAAAGCATACAAGAAAATGTCCCAGAACTGAAATACACAAGTCTCTAGATTAAAAGGCATCTCATAAGACAAATGCAAAGATACCCATGGAAGGCACGTCATGAAATTTCAGAATATCAGGGGTGAAGAGAAGATCTGAAACACTTTCTGGCAGAAAAAAACAGGTCACATACTAAGGATCAGGAATCAGCATGGCATCGGACTTTTCAATAGCAACCATGGATTCTAAAAGGCAGCGGACGGAACATTGTCTACAGAATTCCAAGGAAAATCATTTCAAACTTAAAATTCTATAACTGGCAACAGTGGCAAAGCCAACTGCTAGGTCAAATGGAGGAAGGACTGGAAGTGTCATTGGCAAAGAAGCGAAAAGGACAAGTCACAGAGGAAAAAATACAGTCAGTAAACATCTGAAAAGGTGTTCTGCTTCACCAGTAATAAGGAAAATGGTAACCAAAACTGCGACTGTCATAGTGACAAAAATTTAAAAGGTTAATAGTATGGAGTGTTGGACAGGATGCCGGTAAATACAGTGATGATAAGACTGTGTGGTGGTGAAAACTCCTCAGAAGTCATTTGACAGTGACTGTTTTGACCTAACATTTCCTTTCTAGGACTCTTCCTATGTATTTCTATACATGCACATTTGCCCAAGTATGGATATACCTTAAAGATGTTAATTGTAGGATTGCTTACAATAAGAAAAAAAATCGTGATTAATGTTTATCAGTAGATATGTGATTGGATCGTATTAAGAAATGTTATTATGGGCCAGACAAAGTGGCTCATGCCTGTAATCCCAGTACTTTGGGAGGCCAAGGCTGGAGGATCGCTTGAGGCCAGGATTTCAAGACCAGCCTGGACAACATAGCAAGATCCCACCTTTACAAAAAAAAAAAATTAAAATTAGGTTGGCATAGTGACACATGCCTGTAGTACTTGAGAGGCTGAGGCAGGAGGTTCACTTGAGCCCAGGAGTTCAAAGTTACCATGACCTGTAATTGTGTCACTGCATTCCAGCCTGGGTGTCAGAGTGACACCCTATCTCTAAAAAAAAGGAGAAGAATTATTACTATGTAGGCATTAAATGGAATGGTGTTCTCAAAAAATTAAAGGTAAAATCACCATATGATCAGCAATTCTACTTCTGTGTATCAATATATACTCAAAAGAATTGAAAGCAGGATCTTGGACAGATAGTACACCCATGATCACAGCAACATTATTCATGACAGCCAAAAGGTGGAAGCAGCCCAAGAGTCCATCAACAGGTGAATGGATAAACACAATGTGATCTGTACATACAGTGGAATATCATTCAACCTTAAAAAGGAAGGACATTCTGACACATGCTACAACATGGAGGACGGTATGCTAAGTGAAATAAGGCAGTCACAAAAGGACAGTGAATGATGCCACTATGTCAGGTACCTAGAGCAATCAAAATCATAGAGGCAGAAAGTAGAATGGTGGGTGCCAGGGGCAGGGAGAGGGTGATGGAGAGTTAGAGTTTAATAGGTACAGAGTTTCAGTTTTGCAAGATAAAGTTCTGGAGATGGCTGGTGGTGATAGCATACCACAATGTGAATATACTTAGTGCCGCTGAACTGTATGCTTAAAAATGGTTAAGATGGTAAATTTTCTGTAGTGTATATTTTACTGCAATTTAAAATTTTTTAAAAGTATTATTTGATAATATACTGTTTATTAAAGTCTATTCTTTTTTTTTTTTTTTTGAGACAGAGTCTCGCTTTGTTGCCCAGGCTAGAGTGAGTGCCATGGCAACAGCCTAGCTCACAGCAACCTCAAACTCCTGGGCTCAAGTGATCCTCCTGCCTCAGCCTCCCGAGTAGCTGGGACTACAGGCATGTGCCACCATGCCCAGCTAATTTTTTCTATATATATATTAGTTGGCCAATTAATTTCTATTTATAGTAGAGATGGGGTCTCTCTCTTGCTCAGGCTGGTTTCGAACTCCTGACCTCGAGCAATCCACCCACCTTGGCCTCCCAGAGAGCTAGGATTACAGGCATGAGCCACCGCACCTGGCCTAAAGTCTATTTTTGACACCCCCCCCAAAGGAACAGTGATAGATCCATATATTCTGATGGTGGAAATAGCACCTAGACGTATTATTAAATAAAAGAGGCGAGTTACAGGAGGAAAATATATAGTATGATCCCTTTTACATAAAATTGCCTAACAAAGATGTGTGTTTATGTATATATATTAGGTAGAGGTGTGCAAATGGAAGTAAAAGGACACGTATCAAGCTGGGAGCAGTGGTCACCTCTGGGATGGGGAGTGTGGGGATTTCTGTGTGTTCTGCATATTCGTGCATCCCGTGAGCTCCTATAAAACAGATCTGGGATGTCATAAGAGATTAGTGAGAGCCAATTGAAGGGCCAGACAGGAGGGGTTGAGGAGGGAATGGAAGTTAAGGAATGAGATTCTGATGGGAGTTGGCGACAAGGTTTTAGAACTGTTGGGCTGTAAAGTAGAGGAAACTTGGGGAGCAGGTGCAGAAATCAGGACAAGCTAGAGGGACCTTTAGAGATAGGAGAAATTTGAGCCCATGTAAATGCTGATGGGACGGGTCCTACAGCCAGAGAAGATGAGAAAAGAGCTTCTGAGAAGTGGGTGGAAAAGTCAAGAACACAGAGAATCAGGTGGGGAGGGGGTGACAGCAGGCTCTGTAACGGGAGCAGGGGGCTGTGCAGAGCCAGTGGCTGTGTGAGTTTAGTGGCCTCTGTGAGGTAGGAGGTGGATAGAGCAGGCCCCAGGCCATGGAGGCCACAGTAGTGCCCATCTCAGGTGAGCTTCTCACCAGTCCTGCCACAGCCCATCTGCCTGCCTGCTTGGGCTGATGCTAGCCCCTTCTCACCGCCCAGACCATCCCTCCTTTAGCCTCACTTGACACTTCCAAAGTGTCACTGCAACCAGTGTCTCCCTGGTGGGCAGACAAGTGACCAGGCAGTCACCACAGGGTGCTTTGGTAGGGAGTATCTGACCCAGGTCACTGTGAGAGAAAGGGCAGGGAACTGGTTAGGGAAGAATTTCTGCAGGAGGTGACCCCTGAGGGACTTCCTAAAGGACAAAGAGATGGTAATTGGGCAAGAGATTGAGAAGGAACCTTCCAGGCTGAGGGAATATTGCAAGCTTTGAGGGAGCATGACATTTTTGGAGAAGGGCAAGAATGATAATTTTGGCTGGGCGCGGTGGCTCACCCCTGTAATCCTTTCTCTGGGAAGCCAAGGCGGGCAGATCACTCAAGGTCGGGAGTTCGAGACCAACCTGAGCAAGAGCGAGACCCCGCCTCTACAATAAATAGAAAGAAATTAATTGGCCAACTAAAATATATATAGAGAAAAAATTATCCGGACATGGTTGCACATGCTTGTAGTCCCACCTACTTGGGAGGCTGAGGCAGAGGATTGCTTGAGCCCAGGAGTTTGAGGTTGCTGTGAGCTAGGCTGATACCACAGCACTCTAGCCTGGGGAACAGAGTGAGACTCTGACTCAAAAAAAAAAAAAAAAAAGGAATGATAATTGTGTGTGTGTGTGTGTGTGTGTGTTTGTGTGTGTGTGTGTGTGTGTTTGTGTAGGCTGGGCCCTGTCTTGGAGGACCTTGAATGCCATAGCTTTGAGGAGCCACCAAAAGATTGTTAAGCAACAGGAGGGATGTGATCCCACTTGCATTTTCAAAAGGCTGCTCCAGAGGGCAGCCAGGTGGAGTATGGATCCCAGAGGAGCTGTGGTGAGGAGGTCATGGAGGGCGGGAGACAGTGGCAGTACTGCGAGGTGCTAACATCGAGGTGGCAGGGTGGGGCCTTGAACAGATCAGCTCTCCGGGAGCTGGAAGCAGCATTTCTTCCAGGTGATCTAACTGAATCTCATGTCCACTTCACTGCAAACATGACTGTTTTCATTTGACATGTGTGGAGACAGAGCTCCCGAGAAAGAAGTCAGTTGCCCCTGTAAGAACACGGTGCCAACTCCAAAGCCCAGGTACTCTCACGACACCCATTGTTCCCACGCTGTGTTCTGCCGAGTCCCACAGCTCTACAGAGGTGCCCCTCAGGGGCTCTTGGGGACATTGAAATGAATGTGGAGGTGGGGGTCCCACCCAGCCAGAGCAGCCCTGCTTTTATCAGTTTTATAAGTGGCAATTCTACATAAGATTTCAGCTGAAAGGGAAATTTTACTGCCTGTGAAAAAACCTGTTGACTCCCACGGCACAGGGAGCTGTACCTACCTAGGCTGGAGGGTTGGGGCCGGGCAGTGTGCTGAGCCAGCCTGAGTCCAGATTTTCTGTAGCTCACCACACTCAGGTGTTTCCAGAAACTTTCAGTTTCACTCCTTTCCTCTCAGCAGCCCCCTGACACCTCCACAAATATGCAGAACACACTAGGGTGCCTGATCTTTGCCCTTGACAAGTGACAGAGATGCCAGGGACAAGTGACAGAGAGACCAGGGCCAGCCATTCTCCTGTGCTGGCACCAGGTGTCTAGGAGGAAGGTCGGAAAGCCCCTTTGCAGTCCGTGGGACCACTTCTGCCCAAATGAGCCTGGAGAGCAGTGCCAGGGAACACTAACAGGGCCCATGCAGCATCACACCCAGGAGGGAAAGACCTGCCTGCTCCTGCCAAAGCTGGGGCTATTAAAGGACGCCCACCCCAAACACTCCTCCGCTCTTCTTCCTCCATGCCTGGTTAGCAGAGTCATCGAGATAGGGCAGGAAATGGTTAACCAGGGAAGAACCACAGAAAAGGATTGGTCACAGCCCCTTCGGTTGGGCAATAAGTCTTCTGGTGGCTGCTTTAGCTGACCTCTCTTTGGCACCACAGAGCTGGATGGCCACCGCTTCCACTTTGCTTGGACATGGGGATGGGGAGATCAAGGCAGGGCAGGAAGGTGGGGAGGACCACTGGGCTCTGCAGGAACAGGCATGAGAGAGCCGGGGCTGTGGGAAAGCCCAGAAATCACTCCAGAGAACTGGAGGTGTCACTGTGTGTCCTTGGGCACTTTGCTCACCTTCTCTGGGCCTTAGTTCCTTCATCTGTAAGATTAGGGGGGCCAGGGTATGGGGACAGAGGAGGAGATTAAATCCGCACAGCCGAAGTTTTTTAAAAATCATAAATCTGTGTGGAGGGCACAACTGATTTTTAACAATCAATTTTTAAAAATCAAGAAGGGAGTTTTAGAGAGATTTGGGCATGATTCCCATGAGTTGGGAGACGATACCATTGTCTGTTTTTCTGTTGGCAACAGAAAAGGTGGGGGGGGGCAGGAAAAGAGCCAGTTACTCAATTATGGGTTGTCTGAGCCTTAGGTAACAAATCAGGCTAAGAGGTGGACAAGGCTTCGGGGTTATTAGTCCTAAATCTCATGTTCTGGCCCTAGCTCTGTCCTTTGTTAGCTGAATCCCTTGGGCTTAAGAACTAGTCTGTTAGCTCCAGTTTCACCAGCTTAAGAGGGATATTCCTCCCTTATCAACTTACAGCCATGGGGCAAGAATGAGATGTCATCTGTGGAAACCACAATACAAATTTGTATTGAAAAGTAGGAGGTCAGAGCCCTAAGGATTCTGGTGTTTCTCTAACAGTTCCTAATGCTATCTGAAGAGGGCACTATAGCCCCAGAGCAGGGTTGGCCAGAGCGAAAATTCTCTTTTGGGTCCTCCCCTTTGTGGACTCCTCCCACACAGTTCCACTCCCCTCACCACCACCCCCAGCTAGCAAATACCTTCCAACTCCCTAACCTGCCAGTAAGTTTTCCCGCCACAGATTGCAAAACATTCTCTCTTTTGCTTATGTGCAGGGGCATAGGCTGACTTCTCTGTGTTCTATGATATAAGCAGAAAGACTGGGCCACACATATGGGATAATGGCCAAGACTATAGGCCTACGCCACCACGCCTGGCTAATTTTTTTCTATTTTTGTAGAGATGGGGTCTTGCTGTTCCTCAGGCTGGTCTTGAATTCCTGGCTTCAAGTGATCCTCCCACCTCAGCCTCCCAGAGTGTTGGGATTATGGGTGTGAGCCACCACACCCTAGCCAACCCAGTTTTGTGGCATCTTTTGCTGTCCTGGGGTCCAGCTGAAGCATTATTTCCAGGAAGGAATCTGAAGTCCTTGTCAAAGTAAAGGGTAAAATTAGAAGGAGGAGCCAAGAGTGGAGGTTGAGTTCCTTTGTTCTGCATGCCCCTCCCCAGGGAAGTAGGGAACAGGTAGGGATTAAGTGGAAGGAATTAGCAGAGGAGGGAAGCGGTGAGTGGGGGAATTGGGGATCCCTGTGCTTTTGGCCTTGGGCAAGTTTCTTTGCTTCTTCCTCTGCAATGGGAATGACAGCAGTAACTCTTTCACGGGGTTGTGTGAGGAATAAAATGAGCTCATATAAGTAAACCACCAAGAGTGGCACTTGTCCCAGAGCAAGTGAAGGCCGCTCCTACTGCACCTCTGTCTACTGCCTCTTCTGTGAGTTTCAGGGAGGACATTCATGGTGACAGTCCCCAGGCAAGGAAAGAGGATGGCTGGACTTAGGGGGGATATGTGTACTGAGGTGGGAGGCTAATTCTGGGAATGTGGCTTGAGCTGGCTGGAAGGGCCACAAAGAAGAGGCGGGAAATGACAAGGGTCCAGTAGCCAGGGTTGGCAGCTACTGCCAGCCCCTAAAAGGACTCCTCCTCCTGGCTCTTGCTTCCTCAATGGCACCTTTGGCTCACTAAAGGCTCGTCCTGGGCAGGGCTGGCAGCTGCATAATGAGGAACAGCCTTGAATGGAGCCGCCTTATTGACCGGTGTGGGCAGAGCTTGTGGCCTCAAGCCCGGTGAGGTCAGGAGGTCATAAAGGCTGTGTGAGGCAGCACGTAGGGCCCAATCCCCGCCCCTACAACTTCTGGTTTCCCAGACCTGCTGCCCTGCTGCCAAGATGGGGGCAGAGCCAGGGAAGTAGGGGGCTCCGGGGAAAACAGAGAAGCCAAGAGCCATATTAGTGGTTTCAGTTCTTGCCAGTGAGATTGAAAAATACACAAGACTTGGACCCATGAGAGCCAGAGGTCAGCCCCCATCCCATCTTCACGGCTCCCACCGCCCCCCATCCAGTGGGCCCCTGTCATGACAGTCCCCATGGGGCCTGAAGAATTCACAGCTTGCCACTTAAATTCTCCAGTTCATCCTCCTGTCCCTGATGGTAGGTACAAAAAGAGGTATTTGCCTCCAAAGCTTGTCCTGGCATCCCATCCTGCAGGGCATCAGGTGAGTTTAGGTGTCTCCCCACCATGGCGCTGTCCCTGAGTTTAAAGCTGATCTCTGAATTCTTCCTGCTTTGGGGCCTCAGGCTGGCCCTATGACATCCTTCAGTCTCACAGTTGAGCTCTGAACAGTTCCTTTGGCCCCTGAGATGTCACTGCTGGCACTGGAGTGTCCGTGGGACAGGCGGGCATTGAGCTGATAGCCCCTCGATGGGGGTTGGGAGTGGTGGGGGAAGGCGTGGCACAGGCAATGTGGTGAGTGAGGTGGTGGACGTGACCAGGAGGGGGCACCTGGTCACCTGTCCCCTCTCCTGCAGGCCTCCCCCGTGTACAACTTCAGCTTTCCCCGGAGGAAATTGGAGTAGATTCGGAAAAGTTTGCACAGAGTGTCTACAGTGAACGTTCGGAGTGGAGCAGCTGAGGTTGCAACTGGAGGGGAGATGGCTTCCTTCTGCCAAGGGGAGAACAGGAGGTTACTGCAGTGCTGGGGACCCCGGAGGGAGGTGGGATTAGGAACAGAATAGGGACGTAAGGAGAGCCCCAGTATTCCTTCACAGGCCCTTTCTCTCTGTCTTAGAAAGGGCACACAGAAGTGTCCTCAGCTACTCACCTGGGCTCCCAGCGCCCGAAGCAGGGAGGTGAGGCTGCGCAGGCCGCTGACGGCTCTGTCCACGTGCAGCTGCAGGGTCTCTGATGGCTGGGAGGAGTTGGCCAACAGGGCCTGGCCCCTCAGGACGGCTTCTGAGAGCAGGGCCAGGCCCTGCCAGACTTCTACAGCCTGCTGCCCAACCTGCAGGGAATGGAGCCGTGGAATCAGCTGTCACAGGCCATCCCCTCCCTGCTCAGCAGCCCCAGACACCAAGCTAAGCAAACAGAGTATGCAATAAGGTTTGTTGAATGAATGAATGAGTGAGTGAACAAATGAATGAGCATATTCCATACAGCCCTCATCTCTCTTGCTCCATTTCTTCTCTTGTCTCCATCATTCCCTCTTTTACCCTATCAGTTTCCCAAAATGAGACTCCCCAAGAGGAAGGAAGAAAATGAACTCACCTCCATTCTCTTCCAGGCATAGAAGTTAACTTTGGTGTCTGGGACGGTGATATTCTCGCTCAAGCTGCAGCCTTCGGCACAGCCCATCTGAAATGTACACAAGGAGTTAGGCCCCTCAGGGCAGGGCTCTGATTCCGGGACCACCGGCCATAGGACGCCCCTTACCTAGCTTCCAGGTATGCTTTGGGAGCCACCAGCTGTATCATCCTGGGAGGATCCAGCTTCCCACCTCCACCCTGAACCCTGGAGCCCTGCAAGTGAGTTCAGTGGAGCGTGCTGGGGGGAGGGCCTCACCGTGACATTCTCTGCCTCCTTGGCTTCCAGGATGTACCTCTCCAGCACTCGACCATCACAGATGAGGCTAAGGCGTGGGGGGGCGCCCAGCACTGGGAGGCCCAGAGAAAGCAGCAGCAAGGACGGCAGAAGCAGCCGGGCAGGACATTCTAGAATAGAGCCAGGCTGAGTGTGAGGCCAGGAGGGGAGGAGAAGGGTGGGTTTGGAGTAATACGTTCACTTATCCTGCGCCTGTGCCACTAGCTTGTCCTTTCGGACCCCAACCTTGCCAGCGCTCAGCCACCGCAGCCCTCATTCAATCCCGCGGCCCATGCGCACCCCACCCCCCAGCTACCGGCATCCACTTCTCCGGCCAAACTTCAACCCCGGTGTGACACAGGCTTCCCCTCTCGAAGGTCCCGTTTGTGCTCTAGGACTCAGGTATCAGCTTAGCTTCCCACCCACAGAGCGGCGCCTCTCCTGCCGGAACCCTCAAACTCTGTCCCGGTCCCCAAGTCAGGGTTTTGCCATCCACAGGGACTCCCCAAGCCCTGCCGGCACCTGGAGACTGCCCCACTGCCCTCCCCCTTCCGGGGTCCTTGGCAAGTCTCGGGTCCTTGAACCCGTCACCTCCCGGCCAATAGCCCCAGCGCTAAATCCCTCCTCAAACAGGGGCCCGGGCCGGCGGGAGCTCCGCAGCCCGCGGGTACTCACCGCACACCCCCATCTCCGCGCCTCGCCCGGCCTCTCAGCGACCAGGGGCTTGGCCGGCGCCCACGCCGGGAGCCCTCATCCCGGGAAGCTCGGCGGGGCAGTACAGTCGCACCGGCCTGAAGGAGGGCGCCGCTGTCCAGGGGGCGCGGGCACGTCGTGGCCGCCGAGGCCGGGGTCGGAGGAGAGCCGGCACGGTGGCCCTGGCCAGGGTCCGGGAGTCCGGCGCGGCGCAGCGACCGGCCGGGGTTGGCTCGGGGACTCTGCGGCTCCGGCCGGGGGTCGGGGCTGTTATCAGCATGTGTGCGTGCGCGGGTGGGGGTGGGGATGAGACTGTGTGCGTGAGGGGTCGCCGGGGGTCAAAGCAGGGGGCAGGACGCCTGGGTCGGGGGCTCGCCGGGGCGGGAGAAGGGCTGCTGCGGACGCGCGCGGCGCACCAGGCTGCCCGAGGCCCCTGGGCTCTGGGAGGGGAGCGCAGCCCGGTGCGCACCCGCGGGACAGGCAGAATGCCGGCGGGCACCGGGAGAGGAGCGCCGTCGGGGAAAGGCTGGGGACCGGACACCTCTCCTGGGAATGTCCCGGTCTTGGACAAGGGCTCAGAGGTGCCTGGGTTCCTAGGTTCCGCGAAATAGCTGGGTCTGGAAGCCTGGAAGCTGCTGGCTGGAGCAGCTCGGTTGGTTGCCTTCCTTCTTACAATCCCAGAACGTGTTCTAGAAACCAGTGTTGTTTGTGTTGGGGACGGGGACCAAGGGAACAAGAAATTTGAGGTTCTTTTTCCCAGACTCCTCACTTTCTAAGACCCTTAAAACTCAGAAACTTACCTTTTAAGGCAAAAAGCACATGTCACACTGTGCAGGACACACATGCACTTTGACATCTGGGGTTTTTTTGACCTGTAGTATAGGTTAACCTACGTGGCAAAATTCTTAAGAACCCTGAAATAGAGCTAGCCTCGAGAGTGATGGGAGCTGGGACTTACAGCTAAGCTTTTGTGGCCCCTGGGAGCCCTGAGGCAGAGGGGAAAGCTCCCCAGAGCAGGAGTCCAAGGCTAGCTGGCCTCTCACACCGTAGAAAGTGGCTTGGGTGCCCTCACCTGTCAATGAGTGTGATGAAAGTACCAGCCTCACTTCACTCAGGTTTCATAAAAGACAGGAAAGTCCTACACACACTCCCTACTTAGTCTCATGATATTAGAAATATGTATTTATTATTAATTAATTAATTTAGAGATATGGTCTTGCTATGTTGCTCAGGCTGAAGTTCAGTGGCTATCTATAGGCACAATCCCACTACAGATCAGCATGGGAATTTTGACCTGCTCTGTTTCTGACCTAGGCTAGGTCACCCCTCCTTAGGCAACCTGCTAGTTCCCTGCCTCTGAGAGGTCACCATATTGATGCCAAATTTAGTGCGGACACCTGACAGGCATAGCACACTACAGCCCAGAACTCCTGGGCTCAAGCGATCCTCCCAGCCTCAGCCTCCTGAGTAGCTGGAACTACAGTCACGTGCCACCACTCCTGGAGATGTTGGAGATAGTTTATTTGTGTATTCACTGACTCTTTTGTGCAAGGGTAGAACAGAGATAAAATGGGTACCCAGGGCAGTATGTTGAGAACTGAAGTGTGCAGATCTGAGCTATAAGAGCTTGGAAGAGGAAGAGCTTACCTCTAGCTGGGGGAAATCAAGGAGGATTTGTTGGAGGAGGTGACAATGAGCTCAGCCTTGACCAGGGCTGGAGGGGGTGGGGGTGTCAATGAGAAGAGATGTGAAGTGGGTGGAGGAGGGACACTCAGGGTGTGGGGTGGAGAAGGGAGAGGTGGTAGATGAGGCCAGAGTGCTGGTTAGGGAGGCGTCAAATTGGGAAGGGCCTTGAATGCCACTCTGAAGAATTTGGATTTTGTTTGGAAAGAGTGGGAAACATTCACTCATTCATTCAAGAGATACTTAAGGAATACCCATTCTTGGCCAGGGACCTGGGGCTAAAGCAGCAAATGCCACAGACAGAAATGCCTGCCCTGGGGGAGCGGACATTCTAGTGGGGAGGCCACAATGAGCACAAAGATAGAGGATCTCATGGCTGTAAGGACTAAGGAGAAAAGGCAGAAGGGGGCCCAGGAGTTGCAGTTTTAGGTAAGGGAGTTGGGGACTTGGCTGATGCAGGTGAAGGAGGGAGCCAGGAGGGGGTGCGAGGTGGAGGAGAGCATGATCAAAGAGGTATTTGGAGAGATAGAAGGGTGAGGGGCAGGAGACAGGCGGGTGTTCTACTGCCTGAAAGTGACACGGGCCTACCTCCCTGGGACCCTGCCCACCTTGAGCCTGCTCCCGGCCTTCCCCAAACCTGCCGTCCAGGCTCCCAGCCCCACTCAGCCATCAGAGCCTGGGTCTACTTCCTTCCCAGAACCCAGCTGTGGGACATGAACACGCACACTCACGTCCACACATGTCTGCACGTGCATTCTGTCCCAACCCACCCTTCTCCCCAGGCTCTGCTCTCCCGGGCCCCTGACTCCTGTGTCACTGCCCTGACCTAACCATGGAGAGGGGGCCAGGGACAGATGGCCGGGTGGGGTGGACACAGCCTGAGGAGAAGGAGGAGCCTTTTGGGCTGTGGGATCTCCCCCTCCCCGTCTCACACAGCTCAGCAGAGGTCCTTAGGCCCCTGCCTGCCAGACAGAAGGGAGATGGGCCAGGAGCACCAGCCTCTGGATGCTGGAGCCTGCAGGGACAGGCCACGGCTGCCTTGTCCCCTGGGGCCTTTAGAGAGAAAGCTCCGATTGCAGCGTGGGAGGGAAGATAGATGGCAGGATCTTGGTCTGCGCCAGGCCTCGTCCAAAGCCATAGTAATCCTGCTGACTGGTCAGAAGCCGGTTTGGGGTCTGGCTTCAGCCCAGATACTCTTGGATCCCGCCAGTAGGGTCCATCCATCTGTCCTTGAGGAACAGGAAGAAAACAGGACGCCACCTGGGGCTCTCCCTTCAATCCTCCTGGCCAGTTCCCCTCCAGAAATACCTGCTGGTATTTCTCTGGCACGGTGTGAGCCAGGCCCAGGACTGTGGCCGAGTCCCCTCGCTGACCCCTCCAGTTGACCCCTAACCCTGCTACTTGATTAACCTTGAGGTGAGTAGCCTCGTTTTTGTCACTCCTCTGGGCCTGCAGTGGCTCCCCATTACCTCAGAACAGTGGCCCTCACTTTCCAGCCTGTTCTCCACTGTGCTCTCTCCCATTCCCTCCATCACAGGAGCACAGTGAGATGGCTTGCAGCTCCCCTCACTTTGCTCACCCTGTGCCTTCCACCTGGGTCATCCTTCCAACTATCTCCTTCTTTTCTCCAAAGCCCAAACCCAAGCATCACCTCCTCCACACAGACTTTCCCGATCCCCCAGTAGGAATTGTCTCCTCCTCCTGCACTGCCATCATTTAGGCCACTCACTGGCAGGGCCAGCAAGGCTAGCTGTCAAAGCTGAGCACTGCACAACTCCAGGGGGCATTCATAAAGACTCTGAGGCTGAGTCTTGAGGAGGCTGAGGCAGGAGGATTGCTTGATGTCAGGAGTTTGAGACCAGTCTGAGTAAGAGCAAGAACCTATCTTACAAAAAATAGGAAAAAAAAAATAGCTAAGCGTGGTGACACATGCCTGTAGTCCTAGCTACTTAGGAGGCTGAGGCAGGAGGATCGCTTGAGCCCAGGAGTTTGAGGTTGCAGTGAGCTATGATGGTGCCAGGGAATGGAACTCTTTGGAGTCATGCAGCACCAGTGCCCTTGTACTCAGAAAAGAGAGCAAATGACCATATGTAGGTCTCATACCTCATACACCTTTGTGCCCACCAAGCACCCAGCATGTTGCTTGTGTGGGCATCGCCCACATGTGGATTGCATTATGTGGTCCCTCCACTCCAGGCTCCTTGGCCAGAGAACAGGAGGTCTAGAGATGGGAGAAAGCCACATCGGGCCAACCCAGGTTCCTGGGACCCTGGGGGCCCTGGAGACCTCCATCTGCTTCCTGAAGCAGGGTATGAAAAGGACGGTTGTGATGACAGGATGGCGGGGGTGGAGACAGACTCTGTTCCAGAGATTCCTCCTGGCAGCCAATTGAGATTGGAAATCCAAGGAGAAGAAAATTTACAGCCCCCCTGAGCTGTCCCAGACCCCCAGGCTGCACGGAGGCCCAGCTGCCTGGAGGCGGGCTGGGGGTGGGGGGGCTCTGGGCCTTTCCTCCCCGCTCCTTTCTAAGCAGTGGCTTCTTGGCTCAGCTTGGGAGTTCAGCCAGCGGCCCAGAGGACCTTCTGTGCTGGGAAGTGAGGTGTCCGGGGGCCTTTGTGGGGGGAACTTCCTGGCCCTTGGGGAACCGGGAAAGAAACACGAATGCTGGAGAACCAAAGGAAAGTCCTTTGCCAAGGTCAACTTGGAGAAATTGAGGCAAGGGCTGCTTTCTTGATCACAAAGGAGTTGACAGAAGCAACATCCAGGTTTCTGTTCTCAGCCAACACTTCTGTAGCCCAATGGCCTCAAAAGGTTGTCCAGTGTTACTAGGAGTGCTTGGATTCTGCCACTGACTTGCTAGGTACCTGACTTGGACATATGACTTGGACTTTTTTCTGCAGAACGAGGATGCTGAAAACGTCAGTAATTTCTTCCTGGGGTTGTGTTGGGATTACATTAATATAACACCTGGCACATGGTAATCGATAAATGCCAGCTAGTATTATGCTACTCTCGATTATCTCTTCTATTTGTGTTTTCTTTGGAGACCTGGAGACTCAGTCTTCCTCCAGTATCCTCCACTGTTTCCTCTTGGGAGCCAGGACAGATTCACAGCACGGTATCTCTGGTATTGTGGCTGCCCCACCATGCAACTCACTGGAAAAGGGTCATCAAAACAGTGGGGTGGACATAGGTGTCTCTGGGTGCCCATATTGACTGCACTTAGGAGAGACTGCCCCTAAACACAGTTGAGTGAAATGGCATCGCTATAGGAGTTAGAGGTTGAGAAGAGGCAGGCATCAAGGCAGACTT